TAGTTGAATCCTTCTCCGCTAGGGGGCTAGTTTTGACACTATGACCCAAAACCCTAAAAAATCGAAAAAATCAAATGGAATAATATGACTTTATGATTTATTATAAGATATTGAGAAAATGAGATTAATTAATTAATTAATAAAAATGCTTAAATTGTATCTTAAATTTACTTTTTACGTATTTCCGGTATTTGTCGATGGCGCGAAAGAAAAGTACCGTACACTCTTAGGTAGGTCTTGGAAAATTAAACAAATGAAACACGATGCATTATAAAATATAATTAATTTGTAAATTATTCACCTGTGTTTACATTCAGAAATTGCAGTTTTTTGAATTTGTAATCTTTATGTCATATGACGAACGGTTTCCGCGATATGGCCGTGGAAGAGTCTTATTGGGTCACCCGGTACATACTGGTTTTCGATACAATCCAATTGTAACTACTACATTTGTACAGCTGTACCAATGTGGTTGCTAATTTAGGATGAACACAATTTCGATCGTGTTTTGCGAATTTGAGGTCAATGTATTTTGATTTTAATTGTCCATTTAGAAAGATAAGGAACATTTGGAAATGTTTGCCTGAAATGTTTTTTTTTAAGTTATCTCATGTTGTCCCCAGTCATTGCGATAAGAGTATTATCGCTTCGTAAAGCTAAGTAAGTCAGATAAGCAGATATTAGTGATTCGACGGCGCAATAATTTTAATAAGAAAGAGGGGACGGTTTCGGAGAGTCGAAAAGAAAGGGAAATTGTTTTAAATAGGAGAGACTGACATTCATTGTGACTCTTTTTGGTGGTTAACCGTTTTTTTTTGTTTTTGTGAAGTTTTTTTGGTGATTGATAGTTAAGATTTCTTTAATTAATTGTTTCAATCTGTCGCTTATTGCGTGATGTTTGTAGTCTGGCTCTGAGTGCCTATTTTTAATTCAACCTCATTTTGTCTACTAAATTTGCTTCATCTATAAATGTTCTATGTTACTAAATTACGACCTAGATAAGAGTTTTCATGTCATGCCAGGTGTTTAAATGCGCTTTAAATTCAGTTCTTTGAAATTGTGGTACCGATCAAGGATGCTGAGTTTTCTCAAATTAATAAAATTAAAATCTTCGCGAGATTTCTAGTTGTGGCCGATGCTGGACGTTAGTAAAATTATAATCATCTAAGATTTTTTCAGTAGCGGAAAGGCTACATTACAGGAAACATTTCGATGGATATTAATTTCAGATATCCGGCTAATTGGGTTACGAAAACTGAAAGAAAGCGAAAGTCTCATCTGCTCGCGTTACCGGAAAACATTCCCTCCACTCCTGGAAATTTCGAAACTCGTTAGGAAAACTAATCTCTTTTTTTTCTGGGCGCTTACGACGCCAACAAGTAAATTGAATGCCCTCCTATAAATAGAGCACAAAGTGATTCACTTTAAGTGGGAATGCTAATGACAATTGTGAACGTGACAGTCGAAGACAAATAGAACAAAAGGTCGCAAATTTATTTACAATCGATTAGCTCAAGGGGCCTTTCTTATTCTAATCAGACTTTTCTCATTCCTACTCGCATTACTGCCGCTTGGTGAAAGATGTGGCGCGATAGGAAGAATGGAAAGTTGTTGCTCTTTCTGTTTATTTACAAACTACGATTTAATGTATGGGGAAAGTTCGACGCGCTCCCCAATTCCGGCACGTGTATCCGTTAGGTGTATACACAATTTCTTTTCTATCCCCTGTAGAAAAACTAACAAAACATCTCTTTGAACCGCATAAGACAAAGGGTGCATGGAGGCGGTAAAGAAGGGGTCCAATAAACTCCATTTAGATATAATTGTACCTTTTTACGGAGGCGAGCCGCAATTAATTTAGACAAGCCAAGACCAATTAACTGATTAATTACAAATTACAATTAATGTCACTGACTTGTCAAATGAAGTAGGTATAATTACGACTTTGAAGAGAAAAAAATTGAAGCAGTCGCAGTAGATGCCAAGTGTTACTAATGAAGGAAGAATGAAGCCTTTTATGTTACCATTAAATAATTTACTGATAACTTGCTTAAATTTATCTCAATTGTGATTGCTTCTTTGTTCACTTATTGCTCACAAATACTCTACCGTAAACGTTGGAAAGGAAAAATTGCCTTTATTTGAAGTTAAAGCGTGAGAATTAAAGTTAATTAAAATTTGGAATCTGCAAGGGTCGACGTTTACGATTTGGGTATTGGACCGGTGGTTAAAATTGCTTTTGGTCAAGTTAAATTAAATGCATCTTTTATTACGGGAGTGGGTTAATATCAAATCTCAATGTCCCAATTAAATTTTTGCCAACTAAGTGTTGGGCTGACACAGAATTCGAAATCTGGGAAACCACAGTAAATGAGTTACAAATGGCATTAATTCGCATTACATGTAAATACTCGAGCAACAACGAGGAAGCGCGATAAATTTACTAAGCTCAGAAGATAAATGATTCTGTTAAAACAAATACACTTAAAGATAGTTACACAGATTGCAAATTGTTAGTTACAAGCACTTTTAGCATAACTCTGTGTAGAAAAGTCGCCAAAAGGATATATTGATGCCAAAAATATCAAATAGTGAAATTTACATTTCATAATCATAAGTTTTTAGTAAGAAGAATTGCAATACCAATTATTTACACGTCAATAATAAAAATAGTATATGAATATAACATATAAATATAACAGACCCAGACACACAAGTAATTACAAAGCTATTTCCCTTCACTTCGAGGATTTCCTATGTATAGTTTTCGCTATCAAATTTTGGAATAATGGCCGTTGTCACGATCTTTGTGAATTGCCCTTAATTTAATATCGAATCCATTTTCTGAAATATTGAATTCACTTAAAAATAATCATAATATGGACCCACTACATTGGAGGTTTTTCTTATTGACATATGAACGAACCAACTTTAAATGAAAAACTGATTTATTCTACCAATTCCGATTCTAACGGATTCATCAGTACGAAAATACATGCAATACAAAACTGCTTCAAATTTGCCGAGAGACTGACATCTTTAAGAAACAACAAATTGAGATTTTCCATAATAATGTTGTTAAAACTTTAATACTGCATTTTTTCTTAAAGACATTCAAACCTTAACCTCGTAAACAGAATATCCTTGTAGAAACGCTTTCGGTATCAAAATAAGCTAATAAGCGAGGGTCCGTTAACTTAGCATCACCATTTCAAATTTCTGACTAAAGACACATTGCACTTGAATCTCTATAGCTAGCGCCACTTTGAGTTCAGCTAGCACCATTATAGATTTTGCAGAAAAGCCCTTGACTTTCGGGGGATGCTATGTTAGACCTAGCGCCAGCTAGCGCCACAAATTGCAGAGCAGGCGCCCAATCCCCAACATTGTGGGGGGTCCTTATATCTCCCAGATATAGTCAAAATCTTAGAAGTTGGCGCCACACCCAAGTAGTCTGGGACGGTTTTTCCTAGCTTTATGACTTGGCGCCACTGAAATATTTTGGATTCATTTTCGAGTAAAACGAGTGGTGCACTAGCTGAATCTGAGGCAAGTATAAAAATAAGGAAATACCGTTCAATTATAGAACAGAACCATATTTTATACCTTTCGCAGTAGCCAGACTGGGACCTTAGAGAAGCTCGAAAATTTTGTGGAATACCTGGGAAAACGCTATTTTTTTTAATGTTTCATAGTAGATGTATTTATTTGACTTTTACTCTAGCTTTTACTTAACCCAGGATAGAAGATATAAAACCTGGAACCAAAAATTAAGTAATAATTTTGACAATATACTGTCGTTTGCAAATGCCCAATTTTTCTTACAAATCGAATTATCTTTGAAACTACTAGCTTTTCGGATATTAACCATATAATACAAAAAAAAACGTACAATTACACGTAGAATTCAAAAATGCATTCAAATACAGGGGGTTATATTAAAAAAATGTACCATTTTGGCGCCTTACTTTGTGAGCGCTCCCTGTATAATTCCAAATATTTTTAAAATGTGGAGAATATTCAACCATATCATAATACAAAAGCACTCCATCGAAAAATGTGCATTAAGTTACTCAGCGCAATCGTTGATTCACGCTGTGCTTGGCCCTATACGTGAGAATTTTTGCGTGGAATGCCAATTTAACTGTGGAAAGTTGTAAAGATAAAAAAAATTCAGGTAAAGTTCAATGGTGAGCGGTCAAGCATGTTTTCCGTTACCTCAAAGGAACCTTACATTTTAAGTTAGAATTCAAAACAAATAAGCTTTACTTCCAATGAAGATGAGAAATGTCTTGGGTGCCACAAAATGCAGTTCCAATGGGGATGTTGAAGAAAGGGACTGAATTTTGTTTGTTTTTTTCAATTAGATTAACAAATAGATACGTTACTTCATGATTAATATTGTTCTTTTGGTAATGAGCTTATTAATTACATTAGTTACACACGAATTCGAAAGTCTTTGCTTATTTTCAAGAAAAATGTCGTTTAAAAAATATAAACAAATTAAAATACGCGCTTTCAATGTCAATGTCATGTTGAAACACAATTTGTCGGCTCTTTTTTTACTTTTGAACGAATTATTGGTGTTGGTTTGAACCGCGGTTAGTGTCGAATCTGTTTCCATTGACGAAACGATTTTGAATTTGAATTTTTACCATTGGTGGAACAATAATGGTCCAAAATACAAACCCCGTGGTACCCCACAATTGGAAATATTTCGTTCGATTTTCCACCGTTTGTGAACATCTGGCTAGCATACGTAATTATGTCATAATATACGTGCGCCAAATTATTGGGCAACTCGCTTAATTACCAAATTATGCAATGCGCCAATAAAGTAAATAGAAATATTTAATACAATTTTCGTAGCACCACGCAACATGATGAGGTAACAAGAGTATTATTTGACACGAGTGCATTAATTGACAGTAAGTAAAGCTTCGACCCCACCATTAATTGACCATAATGTCCACTTTGGGCTAATAGACGCCGAAGTTCCTTTTAGTTCCTATTCTATTCTTCTTTACACAAGTTAACGTCCATCCTGTCGAGAGACAAACATGATTAACGCGTTTCAAATTTTAATTCTTTTCGGCGTGAAATGTGCGTGTCAGGTCGAGTTTAAGAGTGCCCCGACAACTGTGAAAGCGCCCGAAAATGACACCGTTTTACTCCCCTGCTATTTGGAAACGATCACGAACGGTAATATAATTATGCTAGTGGATGAGAAAAAAACGCGCAAGCTTTCAATTAAAGATTTTAATTATCATCAGCGCGCGGTTTGTAATTATTTAATTGGCCGTGCAGTAGACCTTCTGCTTTAATAGTTTTGGTAGAAAGAGGGAGGAATCCGGTACCGGCCGTGAAAATTTGTACGGTCCCGCATGGGGGGTCGAAGAAAGACGTGTTCAATTTCGTTTAATTAAAGTAAAATACTGTTGAATGAAAATCCGGCCACGATGGGAAATGAAACTAAAGACGCAATTTCGGTGCAGGTATATAAAACAAAGGAAATTCTTTTTAATGTAACGGCGAAAATAAGTTCTTTGAATATTCATTTCCTCGTGGATTGGGTTTCGTATTTGGGCGAAGGTGAAAAAATATTTCTAAATAAACAATATGAAAAAATTGAGATATTGACGGATTTTGCGGCGCTAAGAGTTATCTTTAGCGCCTGGGGGGTAATTTTAAATTTGCTCGTGGTAATCCAGTTTTCGATATGATTTTAAATTATTATTATTATCGCGGCCTCGCGATTCAAATTAATTTTATTTAATTGAATGATTGGGTGATCGGAAAAAGAAGGTAAACCGCAACCCCCCGAACTAAACACTATTAGGAGATAATTTGAACCGATCAATAGTCTAAAGAATCTATTCTGTACACTATGATCCATCTCATAGATGGCCGTGGACGGTATCTCGCGGCAAAGTTATGAAGTCACAGAAACGATTTACAAGAAGCGCATTTTCACGGTTTCCCAGCCCTATTCCTTTGAGGCATTTAAGTCTTCGGTCTCCCACGTCGAGATATGTATATGTAGGGCCATGCAAAAGACACTACGTTCTGCAGATATTTGCAGTTTTAACATCAGCAATATACAGGGTGTTAATTAAGTACTTGTACAAACTTTAAAGGGTGAATCTATTACTAATTTTAAGATACAAAGTTCTTAAGAACATGGGTTCGCAAACGTCTTGGTTTTTGAGATATAGGGCGTCCAAAAAAACTATTAATTAATTAATTCATGTTAGAATTAAACAAAAAACTACCCAGTATCCCGAATTTCGTCCAATTGCCATGTTACTTACCAAAAAAAAAACAAATAAAATAGTTTTTGGCCGTCCTGTATTTCAGAAACCAAGCCGTTGCGTATCCATATTATTATGAACGTTTTATCTTATAATTAGTCAAAGATTCACCCTTTAAAGTTTGTACAAGTATTTAATTAACATCCTGTATATATCAAATACAACGCTTTTCAAACCTAGCTTACTCTTTATTGAGAAATTTTTTCGGTACGGATCCGCACCCCGACACGGCAGAATGATTTAATTTTGGCTTCACTTCCTGATTCCAGACAAACAGTGGCCGAGATCAAATCCTTAATTTCCAAACAAAATGAATTTTGGGCGTCAATTATTAAATTTAATGGTAATAGAGCATACGATTTCTCTTTTCGTCGTTAAAGGGTTCGAATGAACACACAACTTGCGCAATTTTATATAAGTAAAATTTATTTTACAAACACACACGAAACGAACCTATTAAAATGCAACTGGACCACAATAACCCACATTAAACCAGCTACGAAGAGAAACTTAAAATTATTTACAGTTTTTGAGTCAAAATATCCAAGTACAGTACGCCAAAACACTAATTACATTAAGGGAAACAAATGCACTTGACAACACGGGACACAAAAACTTGGTTTTCGTACTTCATCTTCCCGACACTGTGTGATGACGATGATTTTAATATCGTTAACACCGTCCGTGTTCCGCAGAAATTAATTTTTTTACATAGTAATGAAATTATCGGACTTTTTTTAACGAAAAATTGTATGGAAAATGGTATCTTTTTTCACGATTTTTACTATGGAGTTTAGTCCTGTCTATGAACAATAGCATCCACTTTTGAGTGACAGTAAATCGCGAATTTCAATCAAATTATTCAATTGTGGGTTATTATGGATCACTATGCAAAAAAATTTCGTGTACAACACGTGTTGAAAGTGTCTTTTTTCCATGAATTTGCTTGATTAACTCTGGCTTCGCCCTCATTAATCAAACTGCAAATTCATGAAAAAAAGTATCACTTTCAAAACTAGTTGTACAAATAACTATTACACGTTTCTGAAACTAAAACTTCTGAAATATTTCTTAATTTTTATAAACATTTCCAAAAATTCTTCTAAAATTTCTGTAACATTTCTATAATGTTTTACAAAATTCCCTATGCGAAATATTTCCAAAATTTAAAAAAAAAATTGTAGGAAAATTTCTGCAATCTCCAACTTGTCTGCACCTTCCGCATTTTTATTCAAGTATTCCTAATATTGTTAAACATTTTCAAGATTTTTGATGGTGCTGCGTGCAATGTCAGACGGTCGCTAAGCCACCCACAAAACACCTGTCCAGCTAGCTCAATTAAATAAGCTTGATTATAGATTTTTCAAAAACGTTCAAATCTGCATATATTATTAATTTAGGAATCTCAGCAGAGTTGATCACTTTCTGCAACTCCAAGGAATTATTTAAACAAATTTACACCCAACGTAACTCTGGGTACGAATGTCAAATTAACATGAGAAGTTTAATCCAGAAAATTGTTTATTGAGAAATAAAATAACATTTATTCGGACTACACACAAATTGACAAAGCTTAAAGAAAGAGAGGATCTTATGTCCTGTTTATAAATGCCACACTTGCAAGCGCTCGATAGACAATTAATTACAGAAATCTTAATTACTCACAGTTTTTAATAATTAAAATGAACTCAAAAACACTCGCAGACAGCTTCATTCGCTTTTTTCCTATTACACTTAATCTTGATGAAAGAAACTTCACTATCAAAAATAAAAACGCCACCCGTCTTAACATCCAACAGGCTGACTGCCCAAAAAAAATGCACATTATTCTTGGACCACCAACACAAAGCCTTGTTTGCGTTATGTTCTCGTATTTTTAAAAGAATCTCCTCTCTTCCACTGTAAAAATCTCCTTTAAACTTTCGTAAATAAACAGAGTTCTTATACAAACAACGTTAAACTTAAATTTAAACAAAAAGAACAAACTCCGTGTTTAATTTATTATCAGCCACCAAATTTACACTGAAAAAGAAAATTGATACTCCACATACAGGCTGACCTATCGTTCCTGATACATTACCGATACCAATGTGAAAGCAAATTTTGTCCAGTATAACAGGTCTATGTTTAACATTATCATACACATAAACGAAGGAAAATGGATGAAGTCAAGCAAATGTTTGCCCAAATAAATGCGAAAACACACGTTTTGCTGTCTTGTTTCGCGACAATTTAGGAGAAACTTTTGCTATACGCCTTTTGGTTTGCTTCAGCAGTGGAGAGCGTTTGCATAACAGTTTAACTCTTATTAATCAAGGAGGGCATTATCTAAAAAAACAGTAATGTAAATTTCTGTGAAAATTAGGGAACCAATTAGTTTTTTTCGAACAGCAGAAATGATTGTGGGAGCGAGGGATTTTTGAGTAACTTTTATTATCCGCATTAACAAAAGACAATGGCACATTTTCAAGCTAACAAATAACAGTGCTATTGTGATCAAATTTATTGTTAATTATACTGAAACAATTTGACTGGTGGGCGTTCACGTAAAAAACTAACCCAGAATCCCTCTTGGAAATCATCATCACCTCTTTCAAGACACTGGGTTGGTTTTGTCTTTGGAAATACACAAACGGCGCCGGACTGTTGTAATTCCTCCTTCTGTGGAACACTTATATTAAAGGCGTCACACCATTGTATTATTTTATCCAGGCAGTCACATTGCAAAGGATTATCGGTTACGAAAAATTCCGCTAATTGGAGTCGTATAGCACTTCATCAGATATGTAGGTTATGTTATTATTGCGAATATTAACTTTCTTCAATCTCGAAGGGGTGTAGAAATTACAATCAAAACTTTTTAATTTGTTGTCAGCCAAATTTAAATGCCACAATTTTCTTAATCCAATAAGGGCGTCTTTGTCGATGAACTCTATTACATTTCTATCTAAGTGTAGTACCTCAATAGCTGGTACTTTCCATATCGATCTAGACCAAATATTATTATTACAGATGGAAGTATTTACAACAGAATCAAATGGTACAAAAACGGAGAGTTACTTACCGACAGCGGTCCGCCTAGCATGCTTCCTCCCAGCAAAATGTCCTTAGCGGCTAACGGATCTCTTTTGGTTACCGATGTGCAGCATGAAGATACGGGCGAGTACATGTGCGAGATCATTCGTCCTGATCCATGGTCGACCATTAGACAGAGGCACGCTATCGAAGTTTTAGGTAAGATTAATCCCGCCACGCGTACTTACCATGCGAGTCTGTCTAGAACCTCCCACGGTGGTTCCAGACCCTGCGAATGGTTTTCTGCAGGTGCGATTACGGGAGGAGGTGCGAATGTCGTGTAAAGTTCATGGTGTTCCTTATCCTCTGATCACCTGGCTTTATGAGGTATGTGAGTAGAAAACCCCCACCAATTTTGTGGAGGAGAATTCTCCTAGATGATGTAACTATGAAGTGATCTTGTTTTGTGGTGCTTGGTAAAGGAGATTTACCGAGTTTTAATTTTAGGATAATATTTTATGGCATAAGAAATTATTAACTCGCGAGCATTCTAAAATCAAAGAATTGTATTGGTTGAATTCGCAAAACTGGGAATTATTATTGCAAATAAAAATTATTGTAGGTATCAGTTAAATAATCCGAATGAAGAGGGAGCGGTAGAGAAAAAAAGAGAGATACTATATTGAAAACCTACGCTACTCTTAAAAAATGACAAATTATTCATTTCAAATTTGACAGTGAACAAAAATCAAAGCGTTCAAGCAAAACAAAAAGGGTTCTGTGCTTACATATAACGTGCAAAATTAAATGACCTTGCAAATACCTATAACCGTGTAATTTAATTACGCTGCAGTAATGTGGCAAGTTCGTGTTACGGGTCGAACTTATGCTGATTATCTCTGAGCATTTTGATTAATTTATTTCAAATGTTTCACCCTTAGTTATTCAATACCACTACTCCTTAGTCACGCTACCCTCACCACGAGTGGTGGGGGAGTTGTCACTTTCCTACTTATGTGTATTTGTATCCCAGAACAAGGACATGCAACTGATCGACAATAGAGAGATGTTGAAATTTGCCGCAACAGATCGGCAACTCTCCGGTAATTACCAATGCATGGCCCGCAACGGTGTCGGTGAACCGGCCGTAGCAACCATTACTTTAAACATCATCTGTAAGTATCAATCCTACTTGTACTTCCACAACCTGAGCCAACAGTTTAGATCCTCCAGAATTGATGACGATGCGATCCTGGATGCACACGGCACCAGGCATTCGAACTCAGTTGGAGTGCATCGTCTATGCCGATCCCCCTGCCACAGTGACATGGCTAAAGGGCGAAATACCAGTGCCTTTCAGTAACCGAATCGTTGCGATGGTCGACGGAGATAAGCACATTTTGCTGATTCGAAATGCCACCTTTGCCGATTTCGGCATTTACACCTGCAGAGCGACCAACGATTTGGGACAAGGCGAATTGCAAATCCAACTCTCAGGTTTTCCCCTTCTTTAATGGTTGCTTCCCCCTTTTAACGCATTTTTCAGGTACCGCAAACCCGGCTGTCTTCAAGCAAGCAGATCAGAAAATGGTCGACACCAAAACGTCGTACAGGCTGGTTTGGGAGGCCGACAGCTACCCCTCCATAATCGAGTACAAGCTCTGGTTCAGACGCTACCGCCCCCACAACGACATTAGAAATTCGGACTGGAATATACTGACGATACCCTCTGAGACCAGCACCGGTCCGGTACACGCGAAATCCTACACGATCCAAGGGCTTCGGGAGAGAACCGTTTACGAAGCAATGGTAACGTCTCGAAATCGTTACGGTTGGTCGAAGAAATCGGCCGTGCTGAAATTTGCAACGGACGGCGCCGGTCAGTCACGTTCACGCTCGATTACCCTCTATTTACTTTTCTTTTTAGATTTTAAAGAGGAAGTCATTACACCGATACAGATACAAGGTTTTGATGAGGTGGTCTCTTCAACCGAAAGTAGTAATGGGGTCAGAATTACTTTGAGCTACTGCTCTCAAATTTTTATGTGTTTGTTCATTTATTTAATAAAGTAGTGACAACAAAAAGACAATACTTTATGCGTACGCAACCACGTATCATTCATTGAATGCGTTTTAAGTTTTCTAATGTTTTCCGGAGTTTTTTTTATCGTTTTCCAAAGTCTCCTAAATCGAGACTTAAATTTTTTCTGCAGGAATCCATCTTTTCCTTAAGGTGGTAGGAAAAATGTACCGCAAAAGGCTCACCGGATTTTCGAACTGGCTCATAACCCCAGCTCGGTCGCTATAAGAATCAACTTAACTGTTACCTACTTATTAATAATAATAATAATAATTTATTGTCTCTGATCAACTTTATTGACATAGACATAGTCACAATGAAAGTTTGGTATAAAAAACACACATATACATAAAAATTACAAAAGAACAAAACATAAATATTATATCACATATACATATCAGTTGCTTTGTAAAAACATTGATCCATTACGTAGTTTTTAAGTGCAGCTTTAAATTTATTTTTATTTTTAATTTTTCTAATGTCTGAAGGAAGTGCATTACATGCCTTTACACAATACATACAGGGTGATTCCTATAGTACCTGCCACCGTTTGGGAGCGTGTAGGTGGTGCGTAGGGGAGTATTTTGATATAGGACACTTGGGGTCGGAAATCTAAAATAAGGGTGCCAGAGCCAAATTTACCTTCTGGAATTTCGCGCCTGTAGGTAGGCAACCCAACCGGCCGGCGGTGCACACGGAGCGATCTCAGGCGGCGATGTGTGGCTGACACTTGATCAGAATTTTGTTTAAACCCACGAAATCACGTCTGCAACGACGCGTATCAAGTGAATAAACACTATGGCAATAGTATAATAATAGTTGGCTAGATGTAGGAAGTGCATTGAGAACAACGGTGGCCACGTTGAACACTTGTAAACGTTATTGCTTTTGACTGTCGTTTTCCCTCCTTCCCTCCCATGTCGCTTCCTCGCGCTAACTCGCTCTGCATCGCTCCGCGCGAAACGTCGGTCGGTTGGGTTGCCTACATACAGGCGTGAAATTCCAGAAGATAAATTTGGTTCTGGCGCCCTTATTTTAGATTTCCGACCCCAAGTGTCCTATATCAAAATACTCCCCTAGGCACCCCCTATACGCTCCCAAACGGTGGCAGGTACTATAGGAATCACCCTGTATGTATAATGGACTTAAGTGTGATTGTCACCTAGTGGAAGGAAATAGTTCTCGTGTTCTCGTATTATCGCTTACCTTTTCTCTGATACGTTTCAGAATCTTCTATTTGTCTATCTGCTCTATAAGGCTTTTCATAGCAATAGATACAGATTAACTACCTGTGAAATAGAGGTTCTCTAGGCTCAAATCGCGTTTCGTTCTTTTTGAAGGTTTCCATTTCTGTCGGAATGTCGAAAAAAGCCCTCAAGCGGCGATATGTGAAACTAACAAAACTTCAAATATTATAATATTTGTAGCCGAAGAATAACTTTTTTCAATTAACCCGAGTTTGTTAAAATCGGCTCAATCGTTTCGAAGATACAGGGTGTTCTTTACGGAAACCTTTGAATACCCCCCACCACTTCATTTTTAGAGATACAGGTCAAACGAAAAGGGTTCAGATTATCGTCTACTTCAAAGAACGGAAATTTTTTTGTTAGGCTAATATAGCGGAATTCACAGAAAAATCACTTTTTTAGATTCCAGTTACGCCCCCCTAGCGGCCATTGCAGAAACTTATTATTTTCCAGGTTTTTCTCGTGGCCGTTTTAGTAATAAATTTTTTACCGCAAGCCTCTACGATGGACAGGTTCCCAGATACAGTACCTCGCATTCTTACCCTGACATCAGCATATGCGTGACTAAGCGCATTTTTAATAATACAGACCAGCGCTTTATTATATTAGCAAAGTTTAACATCAAATAAATATTCAAATCTCCCGCACAAATTCAAACTTACCGCGACAAAATGGCCGACATCCGGAAATACAACAATTCTAATCTGCACAATTTCAGTTTACCGCCACGAAACGGCGCAGTCAATTACAGCGCAACACTTGTGACGTCATAAAAAAGTGGAGGGGATGGCAGATTCATTTTTACGCACGCTTTATTTGAAATATTTTTCTACATTTTCGATCATTTATCTCAAAATTATTGACACGTTCCTAACAATTCTCACACATTTCCATATTTTTTACAAATTACAAATTTTTGGAAATTGAACGAAAAATGCCTGAATGATTCTGATTACATTTTTTGAGAAGAAATTTTCATAATGTGTACAAGTTTTAAAAATGTTGAAATGTTTCCAAGATTTTTATATCACACGGTGTCCATTTTTCGAGTGCCACTATGGGGATCTCGCTTCCCTTAAGAGATAAAGTTGGCTACCATATTCGAAATCTCCATTAAAAAGTGTGTGAATAATGTGTTAATTAGAAATGTCTAATACGATTAGTTTATCATGAAAAAATTAAAAACGAAAATCAGAAGTTTTCGTTTTTTTGCGATATTTTCAAAACTATTGATGATATTTTAAATTTCTTTTCAGATTGTTATTCAGCACGGAAATTCACAACTTTCCCTCATTTAACCAAATTTATATCTCTTAAGATAAGCGAGATCCCGATTGTGGCACTCGAAAAATGAACACCGTGTATTTCCAAAATTTCCTACACATTTTCTAAATCTTTAATATATCTACATGCTTCTGATACATTACGGATACGGATGCAAATTTAATCCAATATAGCAGACCAAAAAAAAAAAAACTGTTTCATTTCGACCGTATTATTTTTTTCGTCTCTAAAATAATTTATTTTCAAAAAAAATTAGTAACCGGGCGAAACCGGGTTTTCCAGGCAGGTGAAATGATTAGAAATTGGGAAAAAATAATTTAAAACAGCTGAATTTTTCCGCGGGCAAAACTATTAATTTTAGACGAAAATGTACAATGTAAAAGTTATAGAGATTAAAAAAATGAGCAACTTTTGTATATGCACTATTTTCACATAACCTCCAATTTTCCTAGAAAAACCGGAAAAACTGTTTTTTTCGTTATTTATTCTTATTTTTGCGAAAAAAAGTCGTAGGGGTTTGAAATTTGGAGGAAACAGCTTGTTTTATGGTAAAAAAGAAGATAATTTTTTGGGCCTGTAAAGTTGAAATTTCCAAGATCTCACGATTTCTGAAAAAAAACCATCTCTTTTTCAAGGGGATCTATTTTTTTTCATCGTACAGAGGTGCGCAGGATAGCAAAATTTTCGTAAAGACTTACATTTTAATAATCAAAAATAAAAAATATTATTCCAATATAGACAAAAACTGGGGGAACAGTACTAAGATAGCTTTTTTTGCAACTAAATTAACGTATTGGATCCGCGCTAATAAAAAGTTTTTGAAATTTGTCTTCTGTCTCCTCTTTAATGTTGCTAATAGTATATTATATAGCAAGGGACTAAAGTGCACGATTTAATCCCGAGAGTGGAGATTATAACCACTTGAGGGATTAGATCGCACTTTAGTCCTGTGGTATATACGCAATTTTTTGCCCTCCCGGATAATGTAACTAAAAACTTAGGTAGATTCCAACAATTCAATTCAACGGAACCTAAAGGAATTGACCTTTTAAACAAAGCATTAGTAAGCTTGGTTAGGTACCCAAGGTAATAGGTGTAAATAAAACGCACCATTTTGCATTTCGTGATTTAAGGAAGCAAAAAACATGACTGAGAATGAATGTAAGGAACCTCTTGGCATAAAGATGGCAGCTGCACGAGCGGTCGAGAGCCTTTTACCCACGAAAGTCGAAAAATTTATATAACAAGCGGTACGAAGAATTTAAAAAATGGTGTGCAAGTAAAACTGTACAAGAATACACTGAAAATTAAACGTACTCGCTAATTTTGAAGAGAAACATCAAGGGTTTTCTCACCTTCTTCGCTGTGGTCCTTGTACTCAATGCTCAAGGCCACAATATTGATCAAGAAAAACATCGACATTAGTAGGTTTCCAAAACTAATTGCGTTTATCAAACGTCAAAATGACGGATATAAACCGAAGAAATCCAAATTGCTTACGAGAGAAGAAATGGACAGGTTTTTAAAAGAGGCTCCAAATGATAAATATCTATTGTCCAAGGTAAATTGTTAATATTCTACTAACAACGTTGAGTAATTTTGTAATCTTTTCAGACAGAAGTAATCTTAACATTGTGGAATTGTGCAGAAAATATATGTCACTTAGGAAGCCGAACACGAATCATGACCGATTCTTTGTTTATTACAAAGATAATGAGTGCACTGTCCAACCGATTGGAAAAAATACGAGTACGTTTAATGCAAATAGTAGCACCAGCACAAAAGTTGCCATTAAAGAAGAGGAAATGGTGAACATGTTGCTCCAATTATTAATCTACATAATTGTGAAAATTATGTTATAAACGTTAATATAACTAAATAAATATTGACAAGACTTGTCAAATTCGCTTCATTTTTTGGTTGTTATGGGAACACTTTTTATCCCTTGGGATTAAAAGATCAACTTTAGTCCCTATTCCCAGAGACTAAAGTAGCAAGTTTAATCTCGGGAGGGCAAAAAATATTTTCTGTTGTTTCCTAGTGCCCAACTGCCTTCATTAAAAAATTTTATTATTTCCTTTTTCTGCATTTTTACCGCAATAAAAGCAATTCGGAGTAAAATCGAATTCTTTTGCTTCCGGAACAATTTGTTTTTGTTCACTAACTCTTCTTCCTGCCTGTTTTACAGCTCATGGGATTCAGCTGGGCCAGTTGATCCTTAGGTAATTTACAGGAATTATGAATAAAATCCTCACGAAGTTTATTCCAGGTTTTACATCTCAAATCATTTGCTTTGGCCGGTAAAAGTGTAAAACTAACATTCTTATTGCAGATTTTGCAAGTTTATCAACAGGCCCAACGCAATTGAATCAGCTATAAAACAGGCAGGAAGAAGAGTCAGTGACCAAAAACAAATTGTTCAGGAATCAGGAAGCAAGATAATTCGATTTTATTTCGAATTGCTTTTATTGCGGTAAAAATGCAGAAAAAAGAAATAAAGATGTTTTAACCGAGGTTTTAACTAAAACATTTGAACATAAGATAACAAAAGAGAATATTTAAACAAACATTAAAGATAAGCAAGCACACAGATTTCGAAAAAATCTTTATTAATATCCAACACATATGATTTATCATGTCAAAAACCGTGTATATCTTAAAACTGTGTTTCCAGTTTTTGGCGATTTTCTCCAATTTTTGCTATAGGAATAATATTTTTTTTATTTTTGTTTATTAAAATATAAGTCTACCCCGCGCACCTTTGTACGATGAAAAAAAAATAGATTTTTCATCCCCTTGAAAAAGAGGTGGTTTTTTCAGAAATCGTGAGATCTCGGAAACGGTTCAACTTTACGGGTCCAAAGAAATTGTCTCTTTTTTTATCATAAAACAAGCTATCTTACTCCTAATTTCAAATCCCTATGACTTTTTTTCGTAAAAATAAGAATAAAATTCGAAAAAAAGGTTTTTCCGGTTTTTCTAGGAACATTGGAGGTTATGTGTAAATAGTGCAGATACAAAAGTCGGATCATTTTTTTATTACCTATAACTTTTATATTGAATATTTTCGCCTAAAATTAATAGTTTTGCCACAAATTGCAAAATATCAGTTTCCACCCCTTTCAACCCCCGTGATTTCACCCGCGGAAAAATTCAGCTGTTTTAGTTATTTTCTTTTAAACTTAACCAGTTTGGTAATTTCTGACAGGATAATTTCCAAAGCACACGTTTTGCTGTCTTGTTTCGTATCTAAAGGGGAGGTGTGGAGGGCATTATCAAAAAAAAACAAGCAGTAATTTCAATTTCTGTGAATGGCAATGGCAGCTAAAAATTGGAAACTAATTAAACTTCTCTAATATCGAACAGCACAGATGAGTATCAAAAGGGAGGAGGAAAGAGGAAACTGATTGTGGTAGTGAGGGATTTTTGAGTAACTTTTATTATCCGCATTAACAAAAAGTAATGGCACATTTTCAAACTAAAAAATGGCAATGCTACTGTGATCGAGTTTATTCAAAATTATACTCAAACGGTTTGACTGGTGCGCGTTCACGTACAAAACTAACCCAGAATCCCTCTTGGAAATCATCATCGCCTCTTTCAAGACACTGGCTTGGTTTTGTCTTTGGAAATACACAAACGGCGCCGGACTGTTGTAATTCCTTCTTCTGTGGGACACTTATATTAAAGGCGTCACTCCATTGTACTATTTTATCCAGGCAGGCACATTGCAAAGGATTATCGGTTACGATAAGTTTCGATAATTGGGGTCGTATTACGTCCAGCACTTCATCAGATATGTAGGTTATGTTATTATTGCGAATATCAACTTCCTTCAATTTCGTAGGGGCGTAGAAATTACAGTCAAAACTTTTTAATTTGTTTTCAGCCAAATTTAAATGCCACAAGTTTCTTAATCCTATAAAGGCGTCTTTGTGGATGAACTCTATTAAATTTCTATTTAAGTCTAGTGCCTCAATAGCTGGTAGATTGATAAAGGCACCTCGTTGAATCTTACGCAAGCGATTCTGTCCCAACATTATGAGGTGAACAGCTGGCGTTTTATAAAACCAAGATGAGTTGAAATTTTCCAATTTATTGTCGACAAGATACAGGGTAGTTAACTTTGGAAGATTATTAAAAGCACGGGGCGACATATCTGTGAAATTATTACCGACCAGGTGCACTCCCTCTAATGACGGCAAATCTTGAAATGAATTTTCACTAATCCAGAAGATTTTGTTGAACCAAAAAAATATCCAAGAAAGTCGGGGAAGATGCAAGAAGGCCCCTTCTCTTATAATCTCAATTCCGGCATCAAAGAAATCGATAGCAAACTTGCTTGAAATTCCCTGAACTGCACCGTAATTTAAATCTCGAATGTTTTGATCTTTTATATATATTCTGGAAATTTCACCTTTAAATCCAATGGTGTCCGGTGAAATACAACCACTGATGGTTTCATTTACACCATTTATCTCTATTGTATTGTTTTTAAAACTAGTCAGTGTACATTGCATCGAAATGTTTACCAATAACAGTATCACGCACGGTTTGAACATGGCGAAGCCGTTGGAAACCTAGCACTACGTATCTTTTTGACGATACGCCACTTTATTATAGATTTTATCATATTGGGGAAATTGTAAGGTTAAAGGGTATTCAATATCTCGCATTTCTATACGAAACTGAATTCAGATAACAAAAGGTTTTGGAACCTTTACCATATGCTTCATATTCCTTTATCGTGCCCCTTCCACGCATATCCTAATAGATGTTCATCAAAACTTTGTCCACTTCTCCTAACGCGACTTCGTGTCTTCCTCGCCCCTCCTTAACCGAACATCTTAATCTTCACGCTAGTTTTCACACCTCCACGCTTATTTTCTTTACGTCTCTATCATTCTCTTCTCTATCTCGCTCCTTGTTGGTATCCCTTTGTTCATTCTTTATTTTTCCTAACAGTGTCCTTAAAGTTGTTTAAGATATCTAAACCTTTACCTTTCTTGGTTTTCATCCCAATAACTGGATGGTCATTCCTAACACATCAAGTTTTCAGAGGTTTGGTATATCTTGTGGGTTGTTGTTAGTGTACAGGATCAAATTAACTCAGATGAGCAATGAATCACGCAGGCGGCCGAAGCAAGGGGCGGCTAGAAGTTATAAGGCTCAAAGGCTTTATTGTTATACAATTATACTATTGATTATACATGCTGGTATGAAATATATCACAATCGGGTGCAAAAACGCCTCTTTTCTTGTTAGATTACAGTTATTAAATACTGAATCACTGTCATCCATTCTTTGAATCGGTACGTTGCATAGAGCAGTTTCAGGGGTAGATTTTTTCACTACCAGATCCTGTCACGGTCGCCAAAAAATGAAGGAAACCAAATTTATTTTAGGTATCAATGAGGATGATATTATATTTTCAAAAAGTTGCAATAGTTAATTGGATTGATAGGTACTGAAGGTAGCGAAATCGATAACCTAAAGAAAAAAACTTTAATTACTTACCTCATACCTATCAATCCAATTAAGAAAAGTAATTACCTACTATGGAGACATACATCAATAAAATTGCAATAGTTATTTACATAAAAGTCAGGAAAATGGCACGTTACTGGCAAGGGAAATATTGAAGTACGAGGCCCTTTTAATTTCCAAGCCAATTAACACCTACTAAACACGATTTGAACATGGCGGTGCAGCTATAAATTTCGCAATGATGTAATTGAAAAATATTTTGTGATTATTATGGGATAAACCATGTTATATATGAATAACTTCTGGAAATTTGTTAAAAATACTTGCACATTTTTTACAAGTCTCTCAGAATATCCGCATTGAATAGTTCAAGGATCAAGAATCACTGTCATTCATCCATCCGTCCTTTGAATCGGTGCATTGCATAGAGCTTCAGTTTCAGGAGAGATATTTTTCACTATCAGGTCCTGTCACAGTCGCCAAAACAATCAACAAAGTTCTTTTAGCAATGTGCATGACAGATTATATTTTCAAAAAGTTACAATAAAGGTCAGGACAATGACTCGTTACTGGCGAGGAAATATTGGAAGTACGAGGCCCTTTTAACTTCCAAGTTAATTAATAACTACTAAACCGACTGTGGTAGAGCGTCGGGCTACATAGCCGGGAGGTCGCGTGTTCGAACCTGGGCTGAGGCAAGAATTTTTCATCTGTGGCATTTCCTTAGATCAGTTTCGAGCATTCGGCCGGCTACTCCGAATTAGATTTTCCTAATTCGCAAGGTAAATACCGGAGTAGTACAGAACAATTAAGACCTTCTACAGGGACACCTCTAAAAACCATTGTGCGGGTCACTCTGTAATTGGGCAAAAGCCTGTGGAGGGCCCAGAACGAGAGAGGGACAATAAATAAAATTAAAATAAAATAAATATAAATTTCGCAATGATCTAATTGAGAAATATTTTGTGATTATTATGGGATAAACCATGTTATATTTATATATGTATATTTTTAGTATATTGTATCGTAGTATGCGTATTTAAACGGTTAACTTGTTTTGCAATTGGAAGTTACGTAGGTTAAAGGGCAGGCGGACGGACTATATCTCGTGATTGTGTGAAACAAAGTCTCTATCACAATATTTGAGATAACTTCTGGAAGATTTTTAACAAAACTTGCACATTTTTTACAAACTTCTCAAAAATCCGCATTGAATAACTGCCAAAAATTACCTCAAAATTCTTAGTTCTTAGTCTTCCTTTTAACAAAATTTGTCGAGGTTCCTAACATTGAGTAGACTATTTATGTGTGATGTTTCCTGTCTGGTCAGGGACTTTTTCAAAGTTATATTGACATTTAAGATTGAAGACTAATTGTTAATTAACATTGTTGACTTGTTGTTGATGCTTGTCCACTTAACGAATTATGCTTTTAGAAGTAATTTTTGAAGTCAACAATCACAAGTCACTTGTCACACAGCAAGATGAAGTCCACACTTGTTTTCAATTATAATTAAAATACTTCAAAACTTACTTCCAAAGGATTAATTCACTTTAGCTCTACTTACCGCGATATCTCGTCTCAGACATCCGGAACACAATAATAAAACAATGCTCTACAGAAATTAAAAAACGCAGAAAGGACAATCTTCAATTCCACCACAGATTTATTCTTCAAATTCTACTATTCATATAATTTATTGGAAAATGTGCCCTCTAAACTTCGACACCCTGTAAATTTTCAATGATACGTAATACCATTGAATAAATGGTTTTTATTCAATGGTAATACTGAACCTGATCTGAACCTTGAAATCAAGAACTTTATCTATCTACAAAATTCGAAAAATGGTGAATACGTAAGTGCGGTCATTTTCTTTAACCACTACATTTTCGTTTTAAAATTTTTTCATTTGAAGTTTGAACCAATTTTCAACCGCTGCCGTACTAGTATTACTGTTTCCAAAAATAACCTCTTTAATCGAAGGTAGGTTACATCTTGTGATTTTGGAACGCCTAAATTTCATTGGTTCACTGGCTTTCAGGGCTGTATATCGAGCTTCAGAATTCTGTAACGTCAGCTTATTTTTGCCAAGCTTTACTTCATCTGCAACGTTGCAGAAGTAACTTAATACGACCGATTTCCAGCGTGTAATTCAGAACCAAAACCAGACAATGGGGCGTCGCAATTAATTGACGAATATAATAATAATGGTTTTTATTGATTAGGAAAAAAAAAAATAAAAATATGTTATTGGAACCAAATTTGGTCCACATATTCTTATACACAAAAGGGCAGAATCGCGCATGCGCAGGTGCACAGCAAATTTTTTAATGTTTCTTCCGCATAATTCAAAGGGAAAACTCACAAAAGATTTTAACGAAAATAAATGTTCTTGTTACAAAAATTAAAGAAAATAAATTTATAAGTCCGAACACCTTTTTGAAGTGTAAATCTTTGCCAGAACGCCCGTTCAAGAACTTCTCTAAGAAATGTAGGGGAAAAACGAATATAAATAGATACTGTTGAAAGCGCTATATGGCACTTAAAGGAAACCTGAAAGATCTTCAAATGCTTTCCAGAGTCTTATTTGTTTTTTTAATGATTTCAAGCCTTATGGTGGCTCTCCCATGGTGACATTCCAGGTTATTGTAATAACCGTGGTCCTTCTAAAGCTCTTCAGACACTTTTTTTTAGAACTGTCTAAGTTCGTCCAGCCCTGAAATTTATTAAACGAAATTAAGACTGTAGAAGTTTCTGAAACCGAGTAGCTCTAAAAATTTCGATTTTACCTACTGTTCATCATATCATATTGTAGCGAATATTCTAGAAATCCAAAGACATCGGGTCGCCACCATCAAATCTATCGAGATTAGTCACAGGCGAGGCGATAGATGTGACGCGTTCTTTCTGAGAAATGCGATATGCGGACTTCGCAGGTATTCGGAAATTCTCGGGGATCTCCGTGATCTTTCTAGAACTTTTTCGTTTGCTATAAGTATAGGCAAATTGACGTGTGTTTAATAATAAGTTCTAACATCAATGCCAAAGTGATTATTAGTGATGTTCACGCTCCTATGTGATAAAATTTACATGGTACCTGGTATATGGGTTCTTCTTCGTCCGAATAAGAAACCTTTTGCATTTGGCGTCAAGCAAGTAAACATGTAGACATACAAGTACTTTATTTTTGAAAATCTTAACTGGATTACAACGTTATAAAATCAATTAGGACTAAAAGCTAGTTTGAAAATCATCGTTGTCATTACATTTTTCAGTCGATCCGTTCCTATTAAGTAAATAATCTAAATCGTGAGAAATCTTATCGAGCATGCCGTCCAAGCTATCCGACGCATTCTCCGTTTCGTTCGTCACCTTTTCCACGCCCTCCGGCTGTTGACGATCTGATGACTTGAGGATGCTCTTCTCGTTTTTGCTCGGCTGCAAATCGGGAAAGCTGGGACTGACCTCGCATCGCGAGTTAACGGCGATGTTGCAAAGGATGATTGGGTTGTCTTCCGGCGTTTTGCTTTGGTCGTGCATTATCGGCGCGACCAGGTCGAGCTCGACGTGTACTCGTGTCGCAACGACGTCCGGCGAGTACATGAATTCTTGCACGGGCTTGTAAATGTTGGGGGTGTCGCCGTCGTTCTTTCCGTAATTCGCCGTGTTTTGCAGATCGGAGAGCATAATAATTGACTTGGAGCTTCCCATTTGGCGATTACTTCCCTTGCTTTTGCTCGAAGGATAATCGCAATCTTGTTTCGCTGAAAAGTTCGCATTAATTGAGAGTTGAGGTGTAAAATCGCCTACAGCTGGAGGATGTGCTTCCTGAAGTGGACGCCGAGGGTTGCGTTGCTCTCGCTCTACACCTTTCCAAGAAGTCGCCGAACAGCTCAACCTCCGACTTGGCAATGTAGCAGGTGAAAAATATCGTTACCAGCAGAACGTTGCTTAGAGCGAACGCGTAGTTCCAGTACGACGATTCCTTCATATTTACGTACATTATACTGGAGCAGACCATTACAACTGTTGCCCAAAATATGCAGAACGATCTTCGAAGTAGGCGCTTGCTAAAAGTGGAGTTAGAGAAAACTATCGGCAATGGTAAATCAGTACCGTTCGATCACGAGAACTGAAGGTTTGTCGCCACACTGCGTCAATTTCTCCATGACCACCAAGTACATGACGTTGTAAAGGACTATTATGATCAGAAATGCAGTTACAAAAATGTTGAACGAAACCGACCCGTTGATCAGCCACCAAGACAACTGTCGCCTCCCAATTGTTCTGTGCGTCAGATGGCTTGCAAAAACCGTGATAACTGGCACGCCTGTGCTGATGGCCACAATCGTCTTGCTCAAATTTTGGGTTTTAGACAGTCGCACCAAATCGGCGAATACAATCAGGCATTTACTAATGTGAGAAGACAACGCAATCAACAGGAAGATTTCCAAAGATGTGTTTATGTAAGGGAAGAATTCCTGAAACACACGCACGGTCAGTTTGCGCTGCGCAAGTGGGCAACTTACGTTGGGCACGTCCGTAGAGAGTGCCGTTACGAACATAGCCATCGACGCACTGAGTACGCAGCAGTACTGCACCTTTAAAAACGCCAGCGACGATTTAATCAGTGTCCAATGCGCCATCAACATGCATGCAGTTAGCCCTGAAAAAAGCAAGCAGAGACAGCAGGAGACCAAGACAAGAACTTGGTAAGTCTCGAGCTCGTCCACGTTAACCTGAGTTAATGGCATAGTGGTAACCAGCACGGTGTAAGTACCAGGTCGCGAGCAAACGCACTTGGTAACGGTCGCGTTGATAATAATCGTATGGCACTCGTTTAAATTCCAGTCGTAGCCGTAGGTGGCGTAGGAGGCCACCGAACAGTTAATACGCCACCTGGTGATATTCGTATTAACAACGTAGTGGTCGAATTGCATCGCGAAGGAGAATTTCCCCAAATTGACCAAGCGATTATTTTGCACCACGGAAACTGTGGCAATGTTGGATATTATCTCGTACTCCATCTCGGCGGCGTCCCTAAAACCGTTAACATTATCACCAGCCATTCGGCGCTTTCCGTCCACCTTAGTCGAATCGCAGATCTTCTCGGGAGAAAATCGGAGAGGTTCTTGTAAACGATGCAGGCAAGCACGACGGAAGTATTTCCGTGAATGCTCTCTCCACTGTAAATCACCTCAAGTTCGTACTTGAACCACGAAGGGTATCTGCGCGGAAACGGGGAAATTGATATTTACGATGGCTGTGGACATACATACCTCTGCCGTTCCAAAGGGATTTTGCCCACGAAGTTGGGGTTGGTTTCGCCTAACAGGTTAACCACCAGTGAATTGTAAACTTGATGGTAGTGGCCTGAGCTGGTTACTAACGCCGAAAATCGAAGTTCGTTTTGTATGGTTTCCTGTAAATAAATGACCTGCTCTTGGTCAATGAGCGAATTGGAGTGCTTGAGTATTCCGTCAACGATTGAGAAGAATGTGCTCGTCATGTTGCGGATTTGAGCAAAATCGTTTGACATGTTCACGAAGGTGATCACTTCACCGGCGAGTGACAGTATACGCACACCTTCCCCTGGGAGCAAACTCGGCTGTTTGTGGACGTAGTCGTTGTAACTGCCAAGAGTTTTCAAACTGCTCCCTTCGCCGTATCCCGCCATAAAACTCTGCAACTATCTCCACGTTTACAGTTGACACGAAACAAACGCACCTACCTCAGTGTTCGCCTTGAGCAGAGCGTCGGCGGTACACAAGGAAAAGTCGGGTAATTGCCACAGGGACTTTTCGGCGTCGTGCAGAACGCACCAACGTTTCACGCTTCCCGTAAATCCCTTGGGACACTCTTGGATGTTCTGGGTGCCGGGAGCCGTTTCCGGCCACAGTATGTTCATGGACTTCTCTCCTCGGCACGTGTGAATTAAAGTTCGATCTACTACGTCAATTCGTATGCTTACTTCCGTTGAGGTCACTTCGTCTTGGACTAGGCAGGAGTATACGGTAGTTTTCTAGAATAATGTTGTCAACTAGAATGTCTTTTTTTGAAAACTTTTGGTTGTAATTCGAAGGAGCTGAACTGAATAATTTATTGAGTACATTTTTTAACGGTGCGGACGTAATCCCGCCCCCCCGCCCCACGAACTAAAAAACAGTTACAAATACCGATTTGAACTTGAGAGGGAGAAAATATTGAAGTTCTTCCAAGATGGTGTGCTGTTTTGAATGGGGCCATTTTGAAGGTCATTTTATTCGCAGTTGGCCTCTTGCAAGGGTCAGGAATAGGATGAATCTCCATTGCAATTGTTTATTTATTTATTATTATTAGAATTATTATAACGCAAAAGCAAATCAGTAATGTAGGTAGAATAAAAGTAGTATTTTATACCTTACCCCCCCCCCCTCCTACGATTTTAAATCGATAGCTGTTTTCAATTTATGGGGGGAGAGGGGGGTTTAATTACGTCCTCACTCTACATATCGCTAAGAAAGGGGACAAATGGAGATCGTAAGCAATCAAAAATTTGGAAAAAATGCTTTATGTACCTATGTTTCGTTTCGTTAACATAGCTTCAATTGCTTTCCAAAGTAAATAACATGAAAGTTACTCAAAAATGTGCCATTTGGGCGTTTAGAGCTCAAGCGTGTGGGTGAATTTTCATTATTTTGATTTTTGAAATTATGGGTTTTGGTCCATACAATTGATCGGGTGATTTATTCGCGCAATTCGATTCGTCGGTTTAATTAAACAAAATTGGTGGATTTATTTACGGTATTTAATTTAATTAGCGTTTTTTTGACAGATTTTGCTTTTAATCGGTGGAAATAATTCGCGAACACGCGCTGTGATCGATAATTAATTGAAAATGGAATAAATACATTATTATTATTATTTTGGCATCATGTTTCGCGGATTTGATGTAATTAATTAATTTAATTAATTCTTTGAAATTAGATTTTGATTTTGATCAATTAGTTAACTCTGGTACGCGATTTGATTAAAAATCTGGGATCAGGGTAAATTTCTTACTGCTACTATTGCAATTTATAAGATAAGTGCGAGCAAAGCGAAAGCAAAGCGTTAAACAAAAAAGATGAGAGAAATGCCATACTGCAAACTCGGCTATTAAAAAATGACAAATTACACATTTCTAATTTTACAAAAAGGAAAAATCAAAGCGTTCAAGCAAATAAAAAAAGCGTCTGTATCCTAGTTTTTGTTGAAATCCTAATTTTTAACGCATTTTTTAAGAATAAAAGAAAATGTGCTATTGTTTGCGTTTTGTCCGTCCTTTTTTGTTTTGATTGAACGCTTTGCTTTTTCTTTGAATTGGAATTAAGGAAAATCAGATTCCGAGTGCAAAAGTGCATCTTAATAGATTTGTCATTAGACAAAATATTGTCGACACAAATCCAGATCCTCTAGAGATCTTGCAATTGTTATCGTAAGGTCGGATTTCTGAAAAAAGTATTGAAAAGCCTCTCTTTGGTCTCTGCAAGCAAATTTACATGCCCGTGGAAAAAATCAAAATTGTTACTTAGAATTTTATAATCTCTCCTCGTATGCACGCGGCTTCTGCGATAAAGAAAAATCTAAATTGTAACTTAAAATTTCTAAATTTGAGAGATTCTGTGGCCTCGATCAACTTCCGAAAATTCCAAAAAAATTATTACACAAATTTGGATGAAAAAAGATAGCTTACAAAGCCTATTTGCCCCGCACGCAAGTGGGCGACTGTTAATATAATAAATGTTAAAATTACTTAGAGTTTTTTTCTTAATATTCTAAATACTCTGAACGTAAAAGGTTTGTTCTTTAACAAAATTACAAAAACCTCGCAATCACCAATAGCTTTGATAATCACAGTTTCGAAAGAACGCGTTAAAAACGTCCCCACTTGTAAACAAACAGAAAATGCAATTGTTCAAAACACTTCTTGTCGTAAAGTTGACCAACTTATCTAAATTGCACAATTTCAAAGCAATAAAATTTAAACAATAATTAAAACGAAAACTACGAACTTACAAGCAATTCTAAAAGGAAAAACAAACACTGAAATACAAATACAAACGAAACGTACTTATTTCATGAATTATCCTACAGAGTTACTTAATAAATTGAAATATTCTCACACACAGGATATCCCGTCATTATTTTTGGTGTTTGGTTCGAAATAACATCTAAACGACAATTTTGTCTTCGATTGAAATCTATTCTTTTCAAGTATTCAACGAGGGTGTGAGCAACCGTCTACATTCGGTACGAGTGACGGTGTGACCCTCATAGCCCATGAAGTTTGCATCACCCTTTCAAATGTCAATTTGTTTAAATTTTTTATTTTGTTACAAAAATCGAAATCCCATCAAAAATACTAATGAGCAGATAAGAAAGAAGGGTGTGCTATGAACCCGTTACACCTGGCGTGTGGTAACTTAAAGACAATTTCCTGTTTCAGTTTTCGTAAAGTTTCGTTTTTGATCGATCCAACGTGACTTTTTCCGCATTTAAAATGAATACGGATGGTCGGCAACATAATGTAGCGAGTATCCCCGACATCGGGGCGCCAGCAGTCGCCATCAAGGCGTCATAAAAAATTAGTCACCGGCCATAGGGAACGAAAGCGAATGTGATGCATTCTTTCCGAGAAATGCGATATGCCGACTTCGCGAATTCTTTGAAATTCAAAATTTTACTTAGCGCAACCGTCTAAGTCGATTTACGACCCTGGATCGACTCTCATAATATCTATAAAAAAGACTAGCAGGAGAATTCTTAATTTGGATTGGTACTCAAATTCTCAAAACGTCACCTTTAATTTCCAAAAACTATACCTCAATGCGCGACACTTGCAGTATACTCCCACCGGGAAAAAGTATCTCGTATTTCTCCATCTCTGTCTTAATGGGCAGAAGCAGCTTATTCTTCGTCCAGCTATACGTGTATTTGTGGTCGGAATTTTTATTAGCCATACAAATACACTTTATAGTGAAATTTTCGCCCTTCTGCACCGTTAGAGTCGTCGGTTCTATTTTCACAACGGGCGGTTTCGTGATTTCAACGTTGCGGGACAAGCACTGCTTGATACCTCCGTCCTCCGCTTCGCAGACGAAGAGTCCTTCGTCCCGGTGGGTTACCCTTTCGATGCCCAAAAGTGACGTGTACCTGTTTTGTTGCGGGCTTTGAATCAAGCGCGACCACTTGTTACTGAAACATACAGTTAAAAGGCGACTCTTAAGACCGCGACACTTACTTGGTCGCGAATGTTGTGTTGATAACGAACCCATCCTTGTACCAGCGAAAAATCATGCTTGAAGACCCGTGAGCGACGCAGGATAAGACGAAGTGGCCATTTTCACGGATAGGTCCCACTTGGTTAATGGTAAGGTTCTGAAACGTTCCAATGTTTATGATGCCCTGAGCTGTATTCGTAATTTGGGAGAACTCGGTAGGCCTAGACCTACTGCGTTCTCCGATACTGAGCTTTCCCACTGCCAATTTCTACCCGTGTAGGGGCGGGAAAGAATACCCCTATTGCAGAGGCACTGCATGTCGTAAGAGGCGACTAATCAACGGGTATCCAACTGTACCCAGTGATTACTAGGAAACCATCCCTAAGTCAAAAGAAACTCATCCTCCGTTGCTTATGACCTTCTGATTACCACAGCTGGACACACGAAAAAAGTCTGTTCTTCTCTTATGTTTCGTCAGTAGTTAAGACATAAACGGTAGTTGGGAATTCCCCGTCCATTGACTAACCTATCAGGTAAAACGCCAAATTACAAACGATACCTTAATAAACTGAAGAGAGTCATTTCGCAGTCCAATGCTGGTGTCGATCAGTGTCAAGTTTCCAATGCGTCCAGCGTATGTCCATTTATGTATCAAACTCTCCAACTTCTTTCTGTCGCGTTTTAAGCCGTTGAAGTACACCGTTGCTTCGCTTCCCCAATCGTAGTAGCTTTAAATAGATTCGAGTATACAAAGTGATCAAATGAGCTCCCTATAGATATACACAGTACATCAAAGTCCGCCATTTTTAATCTTTCTTATTTGCTTATGACGCCACTAATATTGAAAAAGACACGAAAATTGTGTCACTCTAAAAGCGATCCAGTTTTCAATTTTTCTTGGAGGGAGCGACCATTTGTAACCTAAAGAATAACATCGATTCCAACGATATTAAGTTACTTTGAAGTTAGATTTGAAGATAGAAGCCACGAAAAAGGTTCGAAAGCCGGTGGGAGAAGTCGCGAAGGCACTACTACGAGAGCAAGTCACAACTGTATTACTGTAAAAGCGATCCAGTTTTCAATTTTCCTTGGAGGAAGCCTTTTTTCAAGGAGAACGTACCATTTGTAACTTGAAGACAACACCGATTGCAGCGATATAATATGTAAGGTATTTTAAAGAAAAGATGTGAAAGAACGAAGTGTGAAAGGGGGAGGAGGCGAGGGAAATTGGAGAAAAATATTTCGAAGAAGGAGGCGTGAAGGTATTACAAAAACCCATAAAGGAGATTGGAACGAGACGTGAAGCAGATTTAAAAATAGATAACTGAAAATACAAGCAGAGGCGTGAACAATGCGTATAAGGAAAGAAAGAAAGTAAAGAAAAAAGCGCTACGAAAGGTGCTATAAAATCGAGATGCGATAGTTGTGACAGATGGCGCGAAAAGGATACGGAAGAGGTGTGGAGAAGTGAAGGAATCATATTACCTGAAAAAAGAGGTATCTGGGAAGTGTAAGGTAGTTTGAAGGCTGTCAAGGAAAGGTCGTGGAGGAAGGAAGCGTGAACAAAGGAGACTGGAAGAAAGATAAGGAGCAAGGGTAATTGAATTGTTCTACAGACACGCGGGATGGGTGGCAAGAAAATTTTTTGGCGTAAATACCCTGGAGGAAATATTGTGAGGAGCGAATTTCCCAGGGGATATAGGTTTTATTTGGAGGAATATTTCCCGTAAACTTACAAAAGATGGAGCAAATAGGGGTGAACTTTTCAGGACTTTTTTACCTAGAGCGTATATTCAGGAAGCCACATTCTTTAGCGGAGCTTTTGTGTGCATTTTTCTGGCGCAAGTTCTTATCGAGGGGAAGGGGGATATCTCGGAGCTGGTTTTTTTTTGGGAGAAGACTCGCGTATTTTGATTGCGAACTTTTTCGCACTAAACGTGACGGACTTTAAAACATGTACGTTGGATATCTAGGGACTTTATGAATCGTGCTCCCTAGTGGCTCAAGCGCCACTTCTCTAAATTCCCCACGAATACTCACTTCAAATGGCTTACTCTAACGTTTTCGGCAATTGCACTCAACTTCGAGGCTAAAATCTAAAAAAAAGGTTGCGCACGCTCCCAAAACTTCATTAACAAACCTGATTTTGTAGAACCGCTTGAAGGGTTTCCTTCCTCAAATTGGGACCGTGCATTAAACGAAGTGTAGTCGATAAATCAGGACCATCTGCAACTGAATGGTGACGTCCCGTGGAACCGGCCGAGGAGGACTTACCGCCTGGTGTTGCCCTTGCATCCTTGAAACACTTGCAACTGTGTACGTTGCAGTTGTGCACATTCTGGCGGGACAGCCTTTGGCATCGATCGCCGATGTAATCGTCGCCACATTCGCACCTAACGGCGCTGGTACCAATATGCCTAAAAATCGACATTTAATTGTTTGTCGAAATGACTTAACAGCCCACCTGCATTTCCCTCCATTTTTACAGTATGGACTGCCGTCGTAGGTACACAAAGAGTTGTAACCGTCAGAACACGTGGGTCCAGTGTAACCAGGAAAACACTGGCAGTAGAAATTCCTGGAACGGATCCAGATTAAGCTGTACCACAAGTTACAATGGGCTTACGTGAGGTTGTCATAGCAGATCCCAGTAAACCCGCAATCGCTCATCGTGCAAGAGTCGCTGCGAACAGGCTCAGTGGTGATCTCGTACGTGAGGTTAAAGCCAAAAACGTCCAAAAAATTATCCAAAATTCTCAAGTGAGTGTTCTCGATCGAGCCGAGTTGAAACGTGACCACCATGACGTTCTGGCGCGTTTTAACCCATCGCACTTTTGAGATATTGTTATCGAAAACGGCGTGGATTTGCTTTCCCAAAATATTGTAGCGCCTATCGTACGTTTCGTACTCCTCAAAGCTTAATCCTTCCAGGACGAACAGCTGGGTTAAGTACACGACTATGGAGGTATTCGGGGTGCTGATTTCGCTCGCGTCTATTACCCACTTGCAGAGGATCGGCACGGAAAATTCGTTGGGAAAATTTGGCGTGTGTATTATTCCCGTTTTGGCAGTGAGAGTTTCTCCACACTCGCATTTCGTTCCGCTTAGTTGGACGAGGATGAGGAGCAAATTCGTTATTTCGAGAATTCGCATCGCTGCAAAGAAAATTTGGTTAGGGTGGCATGTCAATTATCTCGCGTTTATTTCTTTTCGTGTCACATTTTCGGAAATCGATAAACGGGAACTGTTTTAATAATTCACGGCGGCCGCCTTTTTGCAAATTTAATCAATTAAAGACGTTTGTGACAATCGTAATTTGGGAAATGCACCAATAATATGCACGTAAACAAATATTGAGCTTACAATTTTTGGCTCCCTCTTAAATCAAGCGATTCTTTGTGGCACACTTTTGAACGTAAAAAGACGTACGAGCAAATGATCTAACTACCCGATTGTTTTACGTAAAAAAAAATGTCGTGAAATGCTTGCTGTCTGCGTAAACCGACAACGATCCGGTGCGCACTATCCAGGGATGTATTACAGCATCCTGGAGGACTTCGAATGGCATGCGCTGCGTTTGGGCAATTAGGGACAAGCGTTACTGTTTTATTTTAATTGTCTACTGCGAATCTGGTTGCACGGAAAATGTCAAGGAAGTTTTGAATAAAAGGTTTGGTTTTTGCCGAATATTAATACGCCCAGATTATGAACGAGAACAAACTAAACAAGTAAAATTTTGTGAAGATAAAGCGCATTTTTTTAAACCGAAATAACTTTTATTTTGACCTCACCAATGGATATATCCCTTGCAGACGTCTCAATCGCCCTTTGTGAGTACCCTCTTCCGACCATCGTTCTTGAGGTATAAGGGAATATACCTCATCACGATAAGAGTTCGAGGAGGAGGGCTATGGTTGGTAGAAAGTAAATCCTTTCGTTGAGACCTTTCATTAGAGTACTAGGATAAAACTAGTTCTACTCCCCTCCCTCCCACCCCCTCCGCCCCGTACTTTGATAAGAGGACAGAAAGAAGGGCAGTAGTTGGTAGAAAACGGTTCCTTTCGTTGAGACCCTTAAGTAGAATACAATGAGAGATACAATTAATTTTCACCCCCCTCCCCCTCAGGCCCCGTTGCTCATTGATCTCGAAAAAGAGCCGCACGGGAAAGTTATAGTTTGTCCAAACCAATTTATTTCGATGAGACCTTTCATTAGAATACCATGAAGGGTAGAACATATGTTAACCCCCCCCCCCCCCCCCAAATTTTCTAAAGTTTAACTTGGCACCACTAAAGGCATGCGTATGCAAAATCTGAGACCAATTGGTTGTCGTATGTAAACGCTATGCACGTTTTACTTTCAAAAACAGCATCTCAGGAAATAATTCGTGGGAGGGTCCCCCTTTTAGACAGCGAAATTTGATGGCCGTCTAGCTACCTACTGCAAAAAATTCCAGGAGTGTAGGACCATCCCCCTAGAAGTAGTTCAAAACGGCAGAAGTGGGTCCGGACGGACGGACGGACAAAACGCAAACAATAGCAAATTTTTTTTAATTCTTAAAAATGCGCTAAAAAGTATAAATTTTGCACAACTCTGCAGATAAAGCGCATTTTTTTATATCGAAATAGTTTACTTTGTTGGTAGATGACCGTTTTCGAGATATTCGCTCTTAAAGTTTTGACATCACCACGGATATATTTCTTCCAGACGTTCCAATCGTTCTTTGTGAGTACCCTCTTCCGACAATCCGTTGGAGATATAAGGGAATATATCCGATCACGATAAGGGGTCGAGGAGGAGGAGGACTATGGTTGGTTGACATTAATTATTTCCATTGAGACCTTTAATTGTAATACCATGAAAGATAAAATTAATTTGTACCCCCCCACCCCCCACCATACCTACCATGAAGGATAACACGTGGGTTTACACCTCCCCCCCTCCTTTTTTTTAAAAGTTACTTGGTACCACTAAAAAAGTATAACTAACAAATGCCAACAAACGAGCCACAAACGATTTGCAATAAAAATATTTTGAAAATTCCAAAAGTGGGGGGCGAATTATACCCCCAAATGTTGCAATTTGATTAATTAATATAACTACCAAACACAAAAAAACGATTGCAATGAAAATATTTTGAAAATTCAGTACTGATATTAATATTATTTATACTTTACACCTCGCTTTAGACTCAACTGGATCTTTTCATAACAAGTGCTTTCATCACATCTACTCACTTTATGGTAATTAATGATAGAATATTGCTATATGTTCAATTATATTAACCTTAAGGCAATTTTCTTCCGCCAAGTACTCGAAACAATAAAATTTAAGAGCTCTCAAGAGTAATTTCAAATAATACACGTTGAGTACATAATACACCAACAAGATTTTTCATCTTCTCTGAAAAACATCCAGTTTCCAATATTTTACGAAATGATGCATGGAACGAAAACGGTTGTGACGTATTCTTTCTGGAAAATATGAGGTGTTTTTCGAGATAATGTTCCGTGATTTTTTTAGAAACGTTTCGGTTGCTATATAAGCAAATTGAATTGTGTTTAATGTAGGTTTCAACATCAATTCCGAAGTGATAAGTAAAAAAATTCACACTCGTGTGTGATAAATCATGTTATAAATTTGTGTACAAGTGACTGATAAATACTAATTAACTATTTTAAATCATTCTATTATAAATTCATTAATAATCAATTGTAAGGAAATACAATATGAATAAATTGTGACAATTTTTCAAAAACGACAAACTTGTCTCGTTTGGAAACCGGAGCGTGAAGAAAAAAACGCTTGTTCATGATGTGCAACCACTTATGGGTCAGGGGAGCGCATATGCGAATACACCTTGACTATTTCGAAGTTAACGCATGACTTTTTTGAGGAGTTGATTGCAAAAAAAATAGTTTAATTAGATAAAGAGTGTATCCATACAATTTCGTTAAATTTTGACCATATTTGTAATCCGAATGAAAAAACAAATATTGGATTCGTTACTTTGATGTTGACACCCAAACTCTGTTGAGATCATAATTCCTTTTCTCACGATCGCTTACGGTTTTTTTGGGAACATTTTCAAAATCCTACCTAAAGTCGCAGGTTCCATTTTTCTATGTGAACTGATCCACATTTATTTCAAATGTGCTCTAGTTTTTTTAATTACGCTAAATTCCGCCATCTTGGATTTTATTCGCGGAATTTAATTCGTGGGGTCAATCAAGATCAACTAAATTGACTTCAGAGATTTGTTGCTATTTGTGTTTTAATCGGAAGATTATTTTGATTTCATATCACGTTAGATATAGAGCTACAGGCTACACTTTCTTATTTCTTATGGGCGCCATATTGGATTTTTACGGAATAACATAGAGAGCAAAAAAAGTAAAACAATGACATTTACAAGATAAAACTTCAAAATCAATTTTAGTCACAAAAAGAGACAACCATGGCCCATTTAACCTACACACTGTATCTCTCGCCGTTACGGAGATCCCAATGGTGAGCCTCGAATTTGGGCCACCCTGTACAACATATATGGCACATAGATTGTAAAGCGAAAAGTTTTGTGTTAACAGAGTTCCACCCCTGGAACAGGTAGCAATGATGGGTCTTCGTTCAGGATTTCCCAGCCTATAGTTGAGATTCGAGAACATTCCCGACATCAGGTATTACTCTCGCCAGGAAAGATTGCCGGTCACAGCACATCTTGTGTCGATCTACAATCTATGTTTTTCTTAAAATGCGAGCGACTTCCGGAATAGAATCGTACCAATGTTGAACGAAAAGTCTTTTTGTTCAACATTGACACGATACTATCCCTGAAGTCGCTCACATCTTTAGAAAAACATAGATTGTAGATCGGGATCAAGTGTTCTGTGATCGGCAATCTTTCCTGGCGAGAAGTTTACGTAACTAATGTGGTTGTAGTCTCCTCCTTCGCCTTACGAACCTTTTTATGGTTTGAGTTCCACCAAGGTGTTCTCTTCGTTCCTCGAAAGGTCCGCAGTTTAAGCTGTCCTCAAATGTCGCTGTTATGGCCTCGTTTACTAATGTAGCCCCCTCCTCCACCTGCCCTGCTTTCCGACAGGTCAAAGGGAGTCCATCCAACCGCTCTGACAGTTTAGCCACGTAGCAATCGCAGTCAGTGGGGATTCCGAAACCTACAGGGCCCACAGTGGTATGACAGGGTGTAGCTGGAAAATAATGTTCCTGTGGTCTGAAAGCAACGGCTCAACCCCCGCGCGCTTCGGAGTTTTGCCGTTGGAGTGCCCGATAGGATACTCATTCACATCAATTGCGGCGAGACCTCCCTGCGGAAGAACGTCCTCAATATACTCGTCCAGGATGTCGCCTCTGGAAGGTAGTGGCCGCCCGTGCCATCTGGGAGTCACCTTGGTTACTTTAGAGACGTGCTCCGGAACTGTCAGAGTCGCATCATCCCAGGGCCCAAGAAGAGGGACCGTCCTCTCCAACCAGTACAAGGTCTACTGGTCCTCGCATTCGGCCACAATGGCACACTGGGGATTGCAGCGGAACCCTGTCAGCCGAGGAAATCCCCCCCCCCCCACTCCTTGGAGTCGGAAAAATCGCTTAGAAATCGTTACTCGTGGGTTTTCGAGGGCTCAGAGTCCGTATCAGCGCTAGAACTGATGAGGATGAGGAACCAGCGTTGGTTGAGGATGATCATGGTCGACGGTGCGGGGGGGGGGGGGGTAGAGGAGTGAGAAACTGACATTACAGGGAATTGTTCGTGAAATCGTTACTTTGGGATTTTCGCGGTCACAGAGTCCAGATCTACTCTTGGAGAATTTTCTAAATTCGATATGAACTGACTGCAAAAATTGACAACTCTCGGGCAAAATCGTTCTAGGAGTAGTCTTCCGCAAGTTGTATTAGTCCAGTACCCCTAAAAGTCGCGGCCCGAAGACGACGCAAAGAGCCCTAGTGAAAAAAGGCAAGACTGATGTAGTAAATAATCTTGGATGCCAAGAAATCTGATGCAATCGTTACCATACGAACCCTAGACCACGGCCTGACATGCCCAGTGGAAGTAAAGGCACTGTGTCCATAACGCACATTGAAAATTAAAGATCACACAAATTCCGATAATTTTTTTTCGTATGCAAGGAAGAAACCGCAGGAAGCAACGTGCCTCAATTTTATCTTCCTTGTAGCGGCACAGTTATTCCAAACTGACTCGTTGAATAACAAGCAAATTTAAATGGTATCGGTACTTCTCAAGAATACATTTTGCATCCTAATTATCAACTGAAGTGAATGCAGTATTGATGACAATTCGCCAATTGAAAAGTAAACTTTGACCGCGACTTGTACATATTCCCACAGAACCGCAGAACTACCGCAGCTAATCAAAACCTAAATTCAAAATTTGGAAACTTTGTGAAATGTAAGCAGTCGCGGACAATGAGAATCCGTTATTAATACTTATTTCTGCACACATCCTGGTAGTGTTGGTGTGGATGTTCTCCTTTCTAGACATTTACTCGCAAGTATGTCGCTCGTTTACATATCGGCGTTTATTGCACTCGTCGCGCTTGTCGGTGGGTGAAGTTTGTCTTTTTTGTTTTTTTTTTATTTTTTTTCCATTAGATGCGCAACTTTTAAATCTGAGCAGTACGCATCCGATTCGCGAGGCGTTATTTTTGAATAACGCCAGCGCGTTCAACAACACAAGGGATAAGTGCGTGTGGAGACCTGCAACCCAAAATTCTGCCGCTTGTCCAGATCAGGATATCAATTTTATTTTGTACGCCGAATCGAATAGGGAATTGGTCGACCTTAGGGAGACGGATTGGTTAAGGCAAAGCTCTTGGAACTCGACCAAGGAGAATGTAATAATTATTCACGGGTATGCTGGGGGTGACGATACCTTGCCGATTGCGGTGCTGAGAGATGGTGAGTTGAAAGCCATGGTGCCATTTTGAAAGTTTGCGTTTCAGCGTATATCAATAATGGTAATTATAACGTGTGGATGTTGGACTGGGGGCCGTTGTGTCAACCCCCTTGCTACGCTGCGGCTGTGCACAACATGAGAGCTGTGGCGAAGTGCGCCGGGGAGTTTTTGACTTTGATGAGAAGCAGCGGGATGTCTCCCAGTCGCACTGTCTGCGTTGGGCACTCGCTTGGTGAGCACTTTTTTTGGCATATTCCCATTCGCGTACGATCCACTTTAGGTGCACATATATGCGGATTGATCTCACACCACGTCCTCTTCCGTCTACATCGAATAATCGGTCTGGATCCGGCCCGTCCTCTTGTCCCCGTCCAGGCCAGGTTATCACCGGGAGACGCCGCCGCCGTTCACGCGCTGCACACCAACGCCGGCCACTACGGTGAAATGGGCAGATCTGGGCATGTCGACTTTTGCATTAACGGAGGCAAAACTCAACCCTACTGCCAAGCGACTGAAAGTTAACTATTTCGACTAGAGTGGAAGCGCACCATTTATTAAATGTTGTTTGCAGACGAATCCCTCTGTAGTCACGTCTGGGCAATATGCTACATGGCCGAGAGTTTGCACGGCGAATTAACTAGGAAAGCGGAACCTTGCTCTAGGCGTTGCCCCAGTGGTTCTCGTCCAGGACATCGCATTGGCATCCCGATACCAATGGGCCAATCCACTCCATTAACGTAAGTACGCCAACTGCGAAAACTCTGCGTTCATTTCTGTATTTAAAGAACATCGGGTTCTTATTGCGTGCACGACGAACGGCCGCCATATTGTCCATCACATCCTGGAGCCCCCGGTGACAAACGGTGCTGCATCACGTAAACTTTGAGTTTATTAAACTTGACTCATGAATTACTCTTTTATTATAAAAAGTACTGTTTACCTCTATCGGATCCTGCATCCTCTCCAACTAGCAGGGACTTCCCTATACCATTTTTTATTCAATGCCTATACACAGCATTTTCTAACTTAATGTTGGAAGGCGCTATTATAGCCAGTTTCTCCGTCCATTCTGCGCCGGAACTACCTACTCCTACAGTTTTCAATGTACATACTAAGTTCGTTCTTTTTGAACTCGGTAGCTTATAGCTTTTACTCCTGAGCCAAGAAAAATCTTGTGGATTAATGTGCGCAACTTTGTTTTTTATTAACATATTTTTTTGAAATTTTAACCAGAGATGCTTCTAGTAAAGGCAAACATGTCGCATTATAGTAAAAATGATATGTGCGCGTGCGCAGACTGCGTAATTGCAATCGTCGTATTTATGGAGAGTTCGCGCTACAAAACTAGTGATCAATTCGTAAAATTCGGCTTAAAGCATATTCTTCTCGGAAATCCGCGCATCGTAATATATTTTTCTCGAGTATTCGCACCCTTCATTTCGAGCCAGCGGGTAAATGGCAGTACTCGGCAGCGATTGGCCACGAAATCGCGGACTGGTATTAGGGTCGAAATGCAGTAAACATTCAAAAACCGATCTGAATCAGTAGAACATTCTTTAAAACACTTCACTGCATATTCAAGAAATGATAAAATTAAATATGTCAATTATAAGAGAAAGAGAAGCAATCAAAAAGATTCACAATTGCTAAATTTTAATTAATCATAATTAAGTCTGTGTTCAGACGACGCTCTCAACGGAGGTATTTACGCACCCATTTCGAGGCAATTAGACCACTAAGTTTTACGACGAATTAAAAAAATGTGCTATTGTTTGCGCGTTGTCCGTCCGTCTGTTCGTGCGTCCTCGCCGCTTATGTGGTTTTGAACTAATTTTAAGGGAATGGCCTTACAGTTCTGGAATTTTTTGTAATACGTAGCATACCTTCAAGGTGTGCCAGACGGTTATCAAGTTTCGCTGGGGGGGGGGGGGGCTCCCCCATAAACTCTTTCCTGAGATAGGTACTGTTTTTGAAAGTAAAACGTACATAATATACAAGAACCAAGTTTTGAGACTTTGCATACCATTCCAACTAAAATTTTGAAAATGGGGGGGGGGGGGGGATCTGGAGGGTGAACCCACGTTCAACCCTTCATTGTATTCTAATAAAAGGTCTCACCAAAATGTATTGGTTTTCATCACTGGCCCATTTCCTCAATCTTGTACCTACTTTGTTTTGTTATTGCTGGAGCAGCATGATTCAATAGCTATTGCATCTTTACAGTATAGTGTACTTAACCCCCAGGTTCTACGCTAACTTCACACTACAAGAACTGGGAATAATAATTTGAAATCGAAAAAACATCTAAGGCAGGGCCTACGTTAGTTGTAAACAACTTTATGACCTGAAGTACAGTAAGGAGTCGAAGAGTAAAATATAATTTTGGTTGAAGCATAAAATGCTTTTAACTGGTAGAGAGTGGGGAGGGGGGATGCGGCGATTTCGAATGGACCCTAGGCGCAAAATATGTAGATCCGGCCCTGCGTACGATACAAAACTTGATTTTATAACAGAATCATGGTAAAAAGCTTCTGACAAGTCAAAAATAGCAAGCTTAGGTTCTGCCATTGCGGTCGTTTCCATAGAAACAGCATTATCATATGTTCTAAACGTCATTATCGTGTGACATTTGAAATAAGAATGACAGATGTCATTAGAATGCACAATCTTCGCTTGCATGTTAACTACTTTATCTACCTTCACGGTTAAAGAACGACTTTACTCATTCAAACCTATTAAAATTTTATTTTAATATATTGCTATAATATAAAAATATTAATTTAGATAAATCGCTACATTTATATTAAAAAGTACATAGCGTTCTTATACTGATTTTAATTTATTAAGAAAGGATCACTTCACATGCTTACTAAAAGGGAACATATATACACTGTATCTAAGATAAGGATATCATTCATGGGGATCTCCGAAACCATAGAAGATACGACGACGGTCAATTTATAGAAAAAAAAAAGCGCAATGAAAGTGTTATTCCATTGTTTTAAAGAAATCTCGAAAATTCCGATTGCTTCCGAAGATATGCCATAAAAACCGAAATTTGTCGATTTCGTGTCTATTTTTTTTCTGATCTTATTTGAATAGATACAAAAATTTTAAAAAAAACACTTTCTCATTGTCACATTGATTTCTACAAGAAAACCTTGAGAGATTTTCAATATAACGTTTCGTTTCGGAGAAATCACCATCAACCTTATTTTTTTATATGGCCCAAAAACAAAGTACCTGCACACTGTTTTGAGTAGCATTTTTTTATTACGAATGGAACGATATACGCCACAAAAAAACGGATAAATTTACAATTTTCCAGGAAATTTGTCCGATAGTTATTCTCACACGATTAGCAGCGGTGTGCGCGGGTGCACCACCCTGTTGAAAACTGACAGTTTCCACATTTTGTTGTGCCGTATGTATTCGATGTATTCATAATAAAAAATGCTACCCAAAACAGAGTATATATGCGCATGCTCAAAGCCACCGCATACTCTCTGTAGCCGCTCATGTATTTGATACCTCTTACCCTTCTCCGATCTCTAGAGGGGGGGGGGGACTATTTGCATCCGCACTGTATGTGGCAAGACCTACAAAATCTCTTCTCTTGCTAAGGCATTGTTCCATTTAAAATAAGCAAATTAGCTTCAACTTCAAATATAATTGTAAGTGCTACAAACTTCAAAATATTTAAATAAATGAATTCCTCGGCAAGTCTCCAATTTTTCTTTTTTTTATTTTCTCTTTCTCTTTTCAATTAATTCTCGGAAAACGGTCATGTTAAAAGGTGAGGAGACGAAATTATAAAATACAATCTGACTGGAGAAATGCAAAATATTTATTTGTAACGTAGATTATAACGACGTATACAAGCATACCAATGTAAATTAAAGACGATCTTTTTCCACCAAAATTATAAAGTACCATCATGTTTGTGAAAAATGAAAACTTCAGTACAAAGACTCGGTTGCATTGGTTGGGCGGGGTTTTTTAATCTTGTCTAGATTTTTAACGACGATATCGTGCAAGGAGCAATACCGATTGCGAATCTCCGCCATAACCAGCCAGAGACTGAGATATTCCTTTTCGTCCATCTCCTCGACGGCCCGCCGATAATCTGCTATGTGTGGATACTTTGCCACTTTCGATATAAGCTTACCTACAAACGTGAAATATTTACGACGTGAAATGCACGCTGGCTTACCAACCTCTAGATATAAAATATCGCGAAATTTGATCATAGAATGCAGCCGCCTCGGACTCTACAGACTGTACTTCTGCGAGGGTGTCCTCTTGAATTGAGACCCCAAAGTTGTTGCCGTCTTCGATTTTCGGTATCATAAACGAAATCCACATTTTCAACTACAAGTCAAAACGTATAAACAATTCTGTCAGCGAAGGAGCGTTACCAAATTTGAATCTTCCACCAACTTTCTAATGTGGGGTTTGACAATCTCCACTAGTTCCATTAAGTTCTTATTGGTAGGCACCGAGCCGCACGGAAGCACCATAACTTTAGTGCCATCTTGTGTGATACTATTGTCTAACTTGATCTTCTTGGCAGGTGGCAAGTCTGAATGATTAAATACGATGGGATCGGGTATTGGAATGTTCAAGTCTTGGTGGATCTCCGAAAATTCTCTGTTGCGAAATTTGGGTGTCTCCAATAGGTCGTTTAGTTTAACTATCGTTTCCGGAAAGCCCTTCAGAAGTAGTTCCTCCGCTTTCGTTTTAAGAGACTCTTTATACTCCTGCACCTAAAAGCCGATACAGTGTGAATATTACGAGGAACCCAAGCACCTTAACCACAGGAGATCTCTCCTGCAAATTAACGTGCACGATATCCATAATAAGAGCGATATTATCCATAACGTAAATGAAAAAGAATTTAAAATAAATGACGGTGTGTAAATAAAAGCACAGCAACCTAACCAATTCGCGTGATAATAACACAAACGTCGTACCTTTTTACTGGTCGTATCAGCCATCGTCGGGTAAAGTGAAATGACTTTTCGGTCGTTGTTAAATTCACACTTGAGTGGAAAAGGCGACTATTACGAAAATAAAAAATAAAATAACCTGTGGGCAAATTTTATTCGCAAGAGCACGTTAAATTGTCATGGAAAATGAATCGAATCGAGCGGAAAAAACCCTGATCGTTTCTTCGAAATTCGATAAACGTTTCGTCGAATTCTACAGTGTGCTTCATCTACTAACGGGACAAATCTCTTTCCCATCTGTAACTGCAACGGCAAAATGAAACAAAAGAAAAAAGTAGTAATAGTAAACCGGATAGACGCCATCTTAATCGTTAAATGAATATCAAACAAGGGTAGTAATTATAATTCGATTGTATCGAAAATCAGTATGTAATCAAACGTTATATCAAGGAGTTGACGAAAATTTAAAAAAATTTACCTTTGAACTTCGGGTCGCAACCTTGTGAGCTCAAAAGAGCGCATCATGCCAATCTGTAACAGACAACAACACAAAACAAACAAAAAGGGTGGTAAATAGCGCGGCACATAAAATATAGCGTAAGCAATGCTAACGTCTGACACTCGACTCAACCGTAATTAATACTCAATACGAATCGGATCATTCGAATGACTTGACACTAACAAAAGCAAAATGTTGACTCGACCACGTATTGCTGTTACAATTCTGGTATAAAAGCATAAACCTGACGTTAAATTCAAGAGAATTAACTACTTTACGATACATTAAATTTCTATTCAACAGCAATGCACTAATTAATTCAAAATGTAAATCAGGATATGCTTCTCTTTTGATATATAAGCAAAATGAATTGTGTTTAATAGAAGTTCCAATATCGATGCCGAAGTGATAATATAGTGAAATTCGCACTCGTGTTGCAAACTTACGTTATAATTTTGAGTGCACGTAATGATAAATAATAATTCCCTGTTATAAATCAATATATTTAAGGATCGATGTAAATTCGTTAATAATTCAATTGTTCATAACTAAATAACGTAACTAAATACGTAACCACGTTAGATTATTCACCCTAGAGTGAGTTCATGAGCTGATTTTAAAATAGGTACTCTTTAATTTTTTAGAAACTATCCATCGGCTACAAAGTTACACCGACTATTTTTTTGTCATACGTAACATGGTCACGAACGGGATTGCGTTAATTGAACGCTATCCATCTTACATATACTTTAATAACCAGTAACCATGCGCATGATAACTCTTTTCAACGCTAACACTTCAGGGCCAAATTTTAAGAGAAACAATATATGAAACGGATTTCCCTGTCACAAACCGCGTGAATGCAATCGATTCCTATACAAATTCTTTTCGGTTCCGGTTCCAACCCACGGTTCGCCATCAGCCGACCAAACCGTTTATTATTAGTGAGTTCTTCAACTGGCCCAAATTCCCCAGAGTAATCGTTGTGTAAATTTCTCTTTATTTGCAAACATTGAAAATAAAATCTCTTTCAAATTATGAGGCATTTGATCCTTCGCCTCATTTAAAAGTTTGTGAGTGGTTGCAACCCCTAGCAGAAGGTTGCATGAAAATTGACCCCTCTCAATATAGAAATCAACAGGATTTTGGATTGCGAAGTTTTAGTGGGGCAGGTACACAATTTTGTTGGAACACCTTGTCTTTATTATTTCAAGTCGTTGTCAGAAATATACGATAGCTGACTCTTCCGCGCCATTTTGGTTATTATTTAAAGGAAAACCATTTATTTTTTCCACCTTGAACGCCCTATAAGACCTTACACTTTTTTGTGCCCAGATCAGATTTGTATTGTCAGTGGGCTCCAAAATGGCGGACGAGTCTGCAATCTGTTTCTAGAAATGGTTTCAGTAGGCTTAGGCTTGTCTCACAGTGGAAGCGTTTACGCGCGAACTGGGATTCGTACGAATACGTATGTTTATGGACGAACTATTCAAACGTACGATTCCAAACGGACCTTCGCACATTAGCGATTAATAAATCGTCCGTATACGTGCGTGTAATTGCGACGTGCGAACCGATCCCATTTTGTTCGGATTTTTATGCGAATTCGCAGGTTGTAGACGATTGTGCTTGTGAACAGTTGCTCATCTCATGATGAATACACAGCTAATGTGCGAATGCGATTTGTGCGTATACGGACGTACAATTTCTGACGTTAACATGCGTATTTCAGTTCGCGCGTAAACGCTTCCACTGTGAGACGAGCCTTACATGATACATGGCGTCATGGTAGCCTACGACGGTGCACCCTATACATAATGTCTCGCAGGGTGAATATTGAAAAAAAGGTGCGCTAACTGCTATAATTCATTGCCTTTATTAAAAGCAAGATACAGAGAAGCATTTTAGATTATTTGACGTTTACTTAGAAGAGAAATGGAAATTTAAAAAAAAAAGAATAACATTAGGAAAGTAGTTCAAATTGACCAAATAAAGTGACATAACCTTACAAAAGCAAATGGTAGTTCGTACACATCATTTGCGATTTGCCGAACTACCGGTTGTTGATCAAAAATACGCAAACTGCGAATTAAAAGAATATCAATGGATTCTTCTGGATTATGCTGTTGTGAATACATTGACTTAAACCAAGGGAGAAATCATATTTTAGCATGCTGTTGCAATTGCGAGGATCTAGACGAATCTGTCGATAAGTAAGTGATGCTTGCGAGCTCCTTTAACTGACCTAGTACCTGTCGCAAAATATTTGTGCAATTACTCTTGTGTTCCGGATCACGTAGATAATTTCTCACGACCTTCTCCAGATCTATTCTGGTTGGAGATCTCTCTGTGATATTGTAGGCTCGATCCGACTCGAGCTTTATAGGAGTGTGCGTCTCCGTTGCAGGGGTAGGTATTGCTGCATGATCATCTGCAAAGCGTAGTTTGATGTCTGGTGCAGCACTACCATTAATAGCATGCTGCTGACTTGATTCCTCACTGCCCGAGGGAGACAGTATTCGCATTCCAAGCTCATTAGACTTCGGACGTGTTCGAAGAGTCGTGGGAATAATGTGGCTATCATTGAAATGCAATGGGGGAGCTGCTGTTGGCGCGATTAGTTGTAAAATTTGCTTATGACACTCTGTAGCATTTGCACGATGTGCCAACGCTTGCAGTTGTTGACTGTCAATAGGGATTGGGTACCATAAAACAATTGGCTCCTCCTAAAATTGACATTAAAACTTTACAAAAGTTGCACTTCACTTACCTTATTTGCATGGATGTAAACGCAAGATATCACAAGGAATACAAAGGTTTTGTATGCCATCGTTCAATCTTCACGTGCAAAGTGAGACTTGATCGCATGTGTATCGCTTTTCATACGTTCTCACTGTCGTATATCATAATTGTTATCTGGACTTTTATGGGATTACTCGATTTGTATTAATATGTATGACTAATTCACGAAAGTAGGTGTGAATTTGATAACTTTTTGATTTTAGGGGATGTGTAAAGTATGGACTGAAAACTAAAAATTCCTACAGATCAGTAGTATTTTTAAAACTCTTTTGTTGAACCAAAATTTCTTTGTTATACAGGAAGTCCTTTGAAATGAGGGTATTTTTCAAACTTTCTTTAATAGAGTTGATCAAATCAATTTCTTCTACAACTGAATGAAATTTCAAAAAGGTTTATTCTGCCTGTTTAAGATATAAATAGAAAAATACCCAAAAATGATCCAAGAGTGTTGTCTAATCTTTTTTTTAATACTTCACTAGTAAAGTATGGAAATGTTCGAACAACTTCTTAAGATCATAGGAACAGTTTTTCAAAATTTGTAGGATTTGTAATATTTTCCTTTTTTACACTTCTATGTTACAGTATGATTTATGAAAGGCACAGAGATCCATGTTCCAAAAATTAAAGATTTTTGAAAAATGTTTGTTGTGGTCTTGCCACTATTTTCCTGTGGTTTAAAGGTTATCGAGAACTAGATCGTTTTTGAAAAATTATTTTTATGCCTTCGTAATACCATTGAATACAGATACAGCAATATGGTTAAAGTCTGTTTTGAGTGGTTACAGAAGGATTAGGTATATAAATGACATAAATTCGGCGAATAAATAAAACAGAAATTTCGCCCAATTAATGACAGGTTTCGTTTGGAAGCTATGCCTCAAATTTTCAGAGAATTATTTTTTTGCGCGGCTCATTATTTTCTAACTTGTTTTTTTAATGCATTAGTGTTCCAGTATGAAATTGTACTAAGGTATGTATTTTAAGAAACTATTTTTGTGTTGTTGCCACTATTTTCCTATTGTCTAATTCTTTTTTTTTTAATGCATAATGTTGCATTGCAAAACTACTTTTGAAACTATGTGGATTGCTTTTTTAAAAAAACTAAATATTTAAGAAACTGTTTTTGTGTTCTTGAATTTGTGAGTTTAACTTTTTTTAATGCATATCAGTAGATAAACGTTGTATTTTGTAAGGTATAAATAAGTGACCTTGTCCATCTGTCGCATTTTTTTAAATGCACCAATGTTACAGTATAATAAGATTCTACTAAATGGTTTTCGAAAAATTAATTCTGTCCGTGGGTTTTTATTTTCTTATTTTTAAATGCATCAACGTTACAGTATTTTGCAACGATTTTTCAAAAATTAAATTGTTTTTGAGAAACTATTTTTATTTCCCACGGCCTACATTCTATTCGCGCATTTTCCAATAAGGTTAGGTGCGCTATTGCAGCCACTTTCTCTGCCCGTCCATCTGTCCGAGGCCCTACTTCAGTTTTTATTATATTTAGTTCGTTCTTTTTGAACAGCAAAGAAAGATTCGTCTGTTCTTTTGTAAAAACCTCGGTAAAAACTAACTATTAGAGTCTGAGTGCTCTTGTGGGAAAACATAATATCGAGGGTATGGTGTACCCCCTAGCATACAAAGATTTGACCCATTTTTATCAAAAGTGAACATGAAGTTGTTAGGATTAATATAGGAAAATTTCCCGGGGGGGGGTGGGGGCACACAGTTTAGTGTTTACATTCTTTACCTAGAAGAGATATTCGTCTATTCTTTTCTAAAAAGTTATTAGAGTCCGAGTGTTCTTGTGAGAAAACGTAAACAGGGGGGTCTGGGGATTATAGAGTACCCTCCCAGCATACAAAGATTTGGCCCCTTTTTATCAAAAGCTAACATGAAGTTGTTAAGAGTTCATCTCGGAGTTCATAGACAAAAATTATCGAATCTTCCTTTATGAGTTCCTTTCCTGTGGTTACCGCTGGGGGGTATTTCCATATCCCCCCGGTCCCCGGTATTACGTTCTTCCTGAAAAACATTTTTGGTGTTTGCATATTCTACAGGATTTCGTCTGTCTGTCAGCGGGCCCGTGTGGCGCAGTTCAGTTGACGCTGGACTGCGGTACTAAGGGTCCCTGGTTTGAATCCGGGTTCGGGCATGGATATCTGTAAATGTATAGTAGGTTGGGTTGGTAGAGCACCCTTGGCTGAAACCCCGCCCACTCAAAAATAAAGGCAAAATAAATAAATACAAAAATTATTAGAGTCTGAGTGCTCTTTTGGGGAAACGTAATAATGTCCATGAACCTAGCAGAACACAATCAAACATATTGCATGATTATGTGCTAATTAAGTGCCATATTCCCGAATTAAATGCTCCTTTTTTTTTAAATTATTACATGTTCTGCCAGGTTCATAATTTAAAAAAAAGGAGCATTTAATTCGGGAATAGGGCACTTAATTAGCACCTATTTATGCAATATGTTTGATTGTGTTCTGCTGACCCTGCTCTGCTAGGTTAATGGACATAACGTAATACAAAGATTTAATTCATTTGCTCAAAAGCTAACATGAGGTTGTTAGGGTAATCGGAAAAAAATTATCGAGTTTCTTTTCTGAGGGTACTGCTGGGGGTATTGTTTCTTCCTCAAAAAAATTAGTATTTGCCTACTCCACAGGAAAGAAAGGTTCGTCTGTCCTTTTCTAAAAACCAATTATTAGAGGTTGAGTGCTCTTGTGGAAAAACTTAATACTGGTATATGGAGTACCCCCAGTATAGAAAAATTTAATCCCCTTTCTCAAAAGCTAATAATTATGAAGTTATTAGGGGTAATAGAGAAAAAATTATCGATGCTTCTAGTAAAGGTCTAAGCATGTCGCATATTGTAAAAATGCGCAAGGAATATTTTTTTAACGTTTTAACCTTAGATCAAAAGTCCTATATAAAAATTGAAATTTTTTATTAATATACGATTTCGGGTAAAATTTAATACAAAACTCATCAGTAAAATGACATTACCTGACTCAGAAATTAAAGTACTCGGTTCCAAAGGGGCCTCGTACGTCAATATTTCCTCGCCAGTAATGTGTCATTTTCCTGCTTTTATGTAAATAACAATTTACTTGTGTACTGCTTCAGTGGTATACTGGCCCTACTTTCTTTTCTAATGCATCATGTTGAGGTATGCAAAGGGTTTACTTTCTAATGTACAGGGTGTCTCAATTTCGTATTCCCAATAAGAAAACTTTTTGTAACGGTAGAAGGCTTTGCGTTTTAAAAAGAAAGGGCGATCGTGATTTTAGTAAGAAAACTTCATAAGTGGAAGTATGAGATTTCACCGATTTCTTCCCGTCTCTCTTACTCTTACATGGCATTCACTCTCTGTTTACCCTTTACCCTAAAGATACGTATTTGTACACTGTGGGTGAACCCAAAGCAAAAAGTTCTAGTTCAAATTGTAAGTATATACTTGACATAGATTATTTAAAAAATCAAAAATTTTCTTTATTTCGACCGTTTTCTGGAACTTGAATTGTAAGTTTTCAATGGTATAATCTTTTGAACTGAAGTCAATATATCTTCCCGATTTTTCATTTAACCTACAGCATATATGTCTTTTCCAGACTCCTAATGGGGCAAACGGTTTCATCAAGCTTACGCCAAAACTTCCTACTGACATTAGAAGACCGCCTTCGCATACCGTGGCCTGGTGGTGCCCGAAAAATACGTCCCGGACTTCTTTTGGCTCTAACACTCATTCCAGGCTCTATACTAATTGCTACCATCAACGCTTACTGGACCTTCACTGCGTTTACCTCGCTATACCTACTGCTATTTTACTTGTCTAAGTCGCTACAAAAAGCAAATTTCTTCGTAGACTGTGTTATTGTTACAATAATCACAATTTTTCTTATTTTTGAATATTACGTGGTGCCATTTTTAGAAATTCTAATACATGAAAATGTGATATTTTTCTTGTTGTACGTTGCCTGTATCGGCTGCATGCTGCTGGCAGTTAAGCGATCGAGACAACTTAAAGGCAGAATCGACTCGAGCGTACGCTATTGCTCAATGTGTGAAGCAACTGTTCCACTTAAATCTCGCCACTTTGTATGGTAATTAAATAAACCACCGGAGGACTAATACTAACTCTAAACATTTTGTAGGATTGGCACCTGCGTAGGAGAACACAACCGAGTGGTTTATCTTCTATCCCAATTACTCGGTATTTTATCTTTGATGTACAGCGCAAATTTAACGCTTACAACCATCTGCCACCCATTCCGAGTCTACAAAACCATTTTACTACCCGACGACTGTTCGGAAGTTTACGTACAGTTCGAGTACGTAATCCAACTCTGTCTAAACGCAAGCACCTAATTATTTCATTTTTCAGATTTGCCCTATCGTTTGTGAACGCCGTTTTTAGTTTGAGTATAAGTGCATTGCTTCTTTTGAATGTACTTTACGAATTGCTAAGAACTCTTGTTTGTAAAAGGAGGTAAGTTGCTCGATGCAACTTTTTTAATAAAACTCGCTGACGACATCTCACCCAATATGTTTAATCTCCATAAATTTTAACGAAACAAATGCGTAATTTATCGGCATGCCAAAATCAAGGTGTTAAGTTTTCAGTATCGCAATTGTTTAATTAAAACGCCTACGCGTTCGTGATGAATTTCAACCGTATGATTGAATTTGACATGGAAAAGAATATCAATTTGTTTGCTTGTCGGTGAGGACAACTTTTATCTGGTGGAGTGTGTGAGGTGCCTATCGAAGGCCCAAATTGCAAAGGAGCAACCCCAAGCATACAAGTTGAGGAAGATGGGCTTACTACGATTTCGATGGGCTTTGAAACACGCGATTCGAAACGGAAAACGTCCATTGCTAGTTCAAAGTCGTCTAGTATTCTCTTATTGATGAAGAAGTTGTGCAAGAGCCAAAAATTAAAAGAGAAAGAGAGGATGGCCACCCGGACGCCCAAGAAAACCCCACACAGTTATTTACCTCCCCTGTGACTGCCTGATTCACGGGGAAGATGGTAGTTTACAAACAACAAATCGCATCAAACTTCACACAATTTGATAATCTCCATACGGGTCAAGACCATGTAGTCGAAACATAGACATAAATTGGGTAAACGGCATTTGCATGCACGTGACGCATTGAGGGGAAATCATGAAAATCTCAAAAAAGAGATTGAAAATTATAAAAAATATAAAATGTTGCATACATAAGTAACACAAAAAAAATAATAATAATAATAATGGATTTTATTGATTAGGAAAACATATACATAACAAATATACAATGCTTTCTCGGTCAGCGCAAAAACCGAGATGCCAATGAGGTGGTTGCCAGCTCTCAAAAACGTGTGCATCAGCGTTGTAAATACAGGCTGGAACGTCTCGTGCCTTTACATTATTTTATTAAGTTTTATTTATGTATTCTCGTGATAGTAGATTATCAGTGCGATATTGCTCTGTATGTCGACTAATCGTTTAGTCCTTGGAGTTCCGATTTTTCGCTGTATATGTTGCTTTGTCGCTCGTGCGCCTGCAGCTCTTATGTCTTAGCAATAGAGAAGGGGCGCCTCAAATTAAGTATTTCTTTGATTTATTATACGAGGTCTGAATGTAAGATGATCGACTTTTACATGAATACTTACTGCCGTACATAATAAAACCCACCATATTAAAGAGCTGCCATAGTATACATAAATGTAGAAGTTCTATTCGTACCACCCAGTCTGGGACAAGATTTGAATGTGGTGTGAAACCATCCACACTTGCTTATGTTCTTTTTCCCCAGAGTTGCCAACTGTAAGTATAGGGCTACGAGTATGTATTTACCGTAAATATTTACTCGTAGGTATCTAGGGTAAGTCAAATCTGCAGTGGCGGCTGGAAGAATCCTAAGATCGTTACATTACTGATGATTACGATTTATGTAGTACTTCTCAGTTCGTGGCTCACCATCGGAATCTCCGCAACGGTGAAGGATACATTGTAGGTTAGATGGGTTTTATGCCCCTTTTTATGACTACGATTTTGAAATGTTTGAAAAATCTTTTAAAACTGAAATATCTCCAAAAAAACTGAAAATGTCAAATTTCATTTTCTCTATTTTAAATGGCCGGAAATGGACAGTTCTCATAAGCATCCTCTGTACTTTTTTCGGATCTGCTAGATTTGGAAACTTTTCTTATTTCTTATGGAAGCCATCTTGGATTTTTACAGAATGAGATAGGAGAGCCACCGCGATTGCGCGTCCACCACAAATCAAACTCAACATACATCACAAACCCGTCCCAGTCATCGCACGCCACTGCCCTACATCACACCATCTCTGATCTGGTGTACGACATCCACCTCTCCAAAATCCGGGGATGGATTTAACGACTTGCTGCCGCACACAGTCGGGCATACCATAGTCCCACCACTGGTGGCGGCGAGATTTGCACACAGCATAATGGTTAACTCCAGTACAAGGAAGGCCCATTTATGCCACCTCGCTGCAATTGGACGTCAACAGTTTACCCACAAAGATGGTACAACTGAAACACATTCAAGGAAATAGCTCTCAACATCTCCAACATCATATGCAGAGAGCGCCTGATAGCAGCAGGTCAATCGGCATCTGTGGGCACCGCCCTGGTAGTTCATCGTCAATTCCCTTGGAGCCACCAGCACCAAAACTCAGCTGGGTAAAATACTTTTCAAAATATATTTAAAATAGGAAATACAAAATAATTTATTTGAAATACAAGATACTAAATAGGTTTGAGTATTTCTATTTAAAATGCCGAATAGAAAATAGGTATTTCAACTAAATATTTCAAATAAGTACCTATCTACCTGTAACATTGAGGGTTATTATTATAATATTCATAAAGGAAGAACATGTTTCTCATGATTTAACCATGCTTTAAGTAAAAGCAGTTTTTCAAGATGTGCGTTTGTTAAAAAATCTTGTCTTTGGTCGCATAATCATTTCTGCATAGGAAAACAAGCGTTTCACAGGAGCCGACTAAGGAATTGTAATTCTATTGTTATTGGATATTGATCCAACATAGGCAAGTCCATAGGTTGTCCAAGACGGGGAACACAATCGACAAAAGTCGAAGAACTCCAAGAATTCTTGCTGCTCCCGCAGAAAATAATCTTACCTTTTGTAATATTCCTAGGAGTCTATCAAGCTTACACTGAAAACATTGACTTACCGTTGGCAACTTTGGGAAAAAACTACAAGCAGAGCCACCTATCTTTCAAGTCGAAACGATGGTAGTTTCGCGGCACTTTTGAATTTGGATGGCAGTCGGCCTGATATGGGTGGCACAAATAAACTCCTACGTTGTGTAATCGGTTCTTGTATATGTTGGGAGGTGAGACATAATCGGGAAGGTAATTAAATAAAAGACAGAACTTTTGTGCGTAAGAAATGACAAGAAGAAATAAATATATTACGCACACAACAAGACCATGCCAGGGAAAACCTTCTACGGGACAAAAACCCCGGCATAGGCCACACAAATACATGAAAAATATCACCTACAGCAATAAAATGCAAGAGAAAATACATATAAATAAAACATCTCAAATTGTATGATAAAAATGAGATCATAGAGATTCATAAATGCAGTGGAAAAAATGATAAATCAATTGAGCTAACGCAAGTCGTAAAATAATAAATTGCATGTACATAGGAAAGGTAAATGGTGTGGCTCTACTCCAGCCTTCAGTTAACAATTTTATTTAACACGAAAAGTACATGTGAGAATGCCATTGGGCAATAGCAATTAGTATTCATGTGAAAATCGATTATCGCTCAAGCACCACCAAAATAATCAAGAGTAAAAAAATACCGGGAAAGCGTGATGCCTTCCGTCGACCGCGTCGCCATCTTCATTATCCCCTAGCTTCGTTGCAAAAATCCCCTATAGCGCGTTTGCACCTCCAGATGCAGTATGGGGTCCTATGGACTAATTGCCTCTCTTACTAGTTTGCATCATTCTTCGATAATACTATCCTTGTTTCTAACCGGATTGATGTCAAATTGACATTATTATTAAATTGATGTATTAAAGCAAAACATAATCTCCTTGTCCTGTCTTTGTCACGTTTGGCAAGCATGTACTGTATGTCCATAAGCGCCATACTGCATTTGAAGGTGTGAACGCGTGTATTCGGCATGTGCGCAAAACGGTCGATTGGGTATATACAGAGCATATCATATTTTTGTTTCAGATGTAAAAGTGTGTTGCCTAACCATAAGGGTGAACTTTGTTCCTCCAACGGAAGTCCCGAGCATCATACTTCAACAAAGACCCCTAAGAGCACTCGGAGCTGTAGGCATAACATAACGAGCGCTGCAGAACATCACGCGCCCAACCCTCGCTTACGTCACGAGAGTGATTATCTGGAATAGGCGATAGTGATAATGCTACCCAAGTCTGGAAAAGCTCCTACCGGCCCTGGGGAAGATCTTTGAAAGGGTACTGCTGTCGAATTTACAACCGAACATAAGATCTGAGCAGTTCGGGTTTCGGACCCAACACTCTACAATGTCTCTCTCTGGACGTCAGGCCTGCTAGTTCAGGTACATCATACCCGAAATGTACCTACAAAGCACTGGCGATTAATGTTCACGAATCGCAGGACGATAGATTTTACGAAACTACGCATGGGCGGAGAAACACTGGAATGGGCGGGCACCACCCGGAATTTCGGAGTTACAATCGACCAACGAAGATGAATAGCGAATAAGTTATACAGGGTGGTGACTTGCGTAACGCATCATAGGGATTTCAATGTAAAATTCATAACATGCGATTATTGGCTCCCCAAATTATTTTATAGCAAAAATGTATTAAGGTTTTTTGTAGGAAAAAAATTTTTACGTCAATCAACCCTATTAGTTTTCAATTTTTTGCATAATAAAGACGGAAAATTAGAAAATAAAACCCGCATCTTTTTCAATAATCGGTGATGCCATGGAATTTTATAATACAAAAACTACACCAATATCCGTCATGCCATGGAATGTCTGCTATAAAACAAATCAAATTCTATCGAAAAGTATTATATTTAGAACAGCGAATTCAACATAAAGAAAGACCAAATTACTAAAAACGGTTTCCTAATATAACAATTTACAATAAATGTTCGAATAAGTCACCACTAACTGCAAGACAGTAACCAAGTCGATCATAATATCCATTTCGAACTGCTGCTAATTGATAACTGGATATCTTTTTGTTTTAGAAAATTCCATGGCATCGCAGATTATTGAAAAAGATGGGGGTTTTATTTTCCAATTTTCCGTCTTTATTATGCAAAAAATTGGAAACTAATAGGGTTGATTGACGTAAAAAATTTTTTCCTACAAAAAACCTTAATACATTTTTGCTATAAAATAATTTGGGGAGCCAATAATCGCATGTTATGAATTTTACATTGAAATCCCTATGATGCGTTACGCAAGTCACCACCCTGTATACGTGAACATTATGCAAGTCAGTCGTCAGTCACCATTAACACTTTAAATAAAATTCAAGCAAAGTGCAAACGCTACGCGACACCGACTATTACAATGCATCTCAATTGGATGGAATACGAGCGCGAGCCGAACTAAAATGCGCGTTGTTGATATAGGCGTCTTTTATTTTTGAGTGAGCCGAGTTTCAGAATAACGCACCTAAGTCAAAATGGCGGATGTTCTGTCAAACTGCCCAAAATGGCGGCCTTTTACGATGTCATATCCTCAAGTAAGTAGGTCCATATTATTTTCTCAAGGAATTGTGACAGGTTATTTCAAAATACACTTTTATTTACAAAACTCTTTCCTTAACATTGAATAAGAACGAACATTAAAAACTTTTACATTGTTGCAGTTTAACCATTGCTTATAATTATAAGATATGTATTAAATCTTCCAAGTCGATTATTGCAATAAGTCCGTTAATTTAGATAATCGATTCGAATCAATACTGGAACGTAACACAAAACTTATTAATACTATAAAGCCTATAAAAGCTGGTACAACTTACACCTATACCTACTACAGTACATGTTATTTTATTTCACTGCCATTGAACAGAAAGGCGATGCTAAGGGCAACCGTCAGTCTTTTAAGTTCCCTTCATATCACAGCCTTGCTTCGCTATACGGCCACTTTTACTGATGCCACGTTGGCGAAAAGTGAGATTTATATTTTACCGTGGTACAATTCGAATGGTAACTGACGTTGATCGACACCGGATGCAGGACGATATCTTGATCATTTGCGAACGTTTCCATCAAATTGTAGTTATGCAGGAACGGGAGCAGGGTAAAGTAATCGACCGTGAGCGGTATATAAAATGAACCTTTCGCGTGATAGACGAATATCGGAATATTGAAGTTTTTTATTTCGATCTTGTATTTGTTGTCGTGAGGGTAATGGTTGCCGTTTAGGTAGTTGGAGCGAGTCGCGGGGGTCACGCTTGAGTCGCTCTTTGGCTGGTAGCCGCGTGAAATATTGGTCGGTATATCACCTTCGGATGGGACGCGCGTCGAGAGGTCGCCGTTGCTGCTGTGTGGCGAGCTATAGACGGAACTAAAGACATAGGTTGTTAATACACGAGTCAATTAAGCGCAATGTAGGTACTTCTGATGCAGGTCACTCCATCTAGAATAACAAAATCTGCATCTAATCTAATAGTTTGACTTGCATCAGAAGTTATTCTTTAAATGTAATTACCTTTGATTTTCTGTACTGGTATCTGAGACTCTTCTAATACTGTTCGCAGAGGTCTTAAGTTTTTTGGTGGCGCTATTCAGATCCTGCGAAAACCTCAACTTAATGTCATTCTTGTACTTGTAAGAAGCTGAACCATCGGAATGTTTCTCGTCCGACTCGGAGCTCTTAAGGGCGAACTGATCGCAAGGCGGCGAATGGACGCCTTTGGTCAAGTCAATTTGCTCGTTGATCTTTTTCTCCTCGACCTTTTCAACGAGCTCGGGAGGCGATAACGTTTGCGTAGTTCTCGAAAGCGTGTCGCAGTGTTTTTGCAAATGCGTCAGTAGGCGAATGCAAATCGCCTCGCGCGGAAAGTGACCCTCAACCTCGACCAGAAATCGCATCGCCTCCGACATGCATTCCTGGTAGCCTAGTCTGAAATGGGCACTTAGTTCCAACTAGCACGTTTTTGCAGCAACTGACCTGTAGTGTTCGGAGGAGGCGACGTGTAAGTGCTGCAAGTGTTTCATATACTTGATGGCCATCTCGATTATTTCCGTTTTCTCTATGCGCCCCCTTCCCTTCTTCAGATATTCCGCCGGTATAAGGCGAGATAGGTCGGCCAGACAGTTGTTCATGCGATCTCTTCTTCGTTTTTCTATAATACGATGCGACATGGGATCCTGCTATACACAAATCATGTTACTATTTATACTAACTCTGCTGCTTTGAAAAAACTCACTCTTGACACTTTGTTCTTTTTGTATAAACCATTGCCGTATTCTAATTCGTCTTCACTGCAAGGCGCGGTTGCGAAATTGAAATTCCTAAAACCCCCATTAGCGTTTTTCGCAAATGCAGCGACTTCACTTACCCATCACAACAAGAATATAACCCCCTTTCGTCCTTTAAACGTGGATGCTCTTCGTTTGAATTGGACCTGAAAGAAAAAAACCATTGTTACTCAAGGTAAATAAACTCTTTCAAAAACAATACAGACGGACGGACAGACACCTATTACTGAAAACAGAATTGGAAAATTCGAAACCGTTCGCGAGTTATCATGTGCACAGACGGACGGACGGACAGAAAGTTCAAAACCATCAACGAACTGGGTCGCTAGTTAATAAAGAATTAGTCAAGCTATGTCAGGTTGATCCAAAAAGAACGTTTTCATCGAGTATCTTTTGGTCCTTTAAGCCGAATTAAAGTATAGGACAATGGAAAACTTGATGTATTAGATTCGCTTAATTTATTTCGAAAGTACGCTACGGCTCAGTTTTCGAAATGAACAATGTCCCTCTATGGAATGATAGGCCCTTAAGGCATATCATGAATTTTCGCGTCACGAACCGCTTCGAATTATAACTTAAAACTATAACAAAAATGTCTATTACGATCGTGGTTTGAATCCTTTGGATAGCTTGTGACTTTCTCATCGGAGCTGTAGGTTGATAGTAAAGGATAAACATCATTTCACCAATTCACCGTGAAATAAATTTATTGAAAGATGAAAGACCGGCCCCAAGGGTCCAAAACGTTTCGTCTAGGAACTGCATTCCCAACCCAATGCTCCACTGTTGGCCCTCTCCCCTTCTCTTTGGGTTGTGACGTTCATTAATAGTATTTTCCCATTTACGTAACTAGGGGTGACCTTGTTTTATGGTGCAAAGCTATTCCTTGGGATTTCCCGGCGAAAATCCCTGGTCACGTGATGGACCGTTATAGTTATTGCAATGAGATAATTGATCTTCAAAGATATGATGATGGATTATGAGATTTGCTACCATTTGGGTCTTAATCAGAAGATGGTTTTGATTTTTGAAATTAGGTACATCATGGCTTTTGGTTCACTAAATATCTCTTCAATTAAATCAAATTGGTGGATTTATTTGCGGTTTTTTAATTTGATTGTGGTTTTTACGTTTAATCGGTGGAAATAATTCGCTCTGATTGATGGATTATTATAACGGTTTCGCTAATTTAATTATTCCTTTGAAATTAGACTTAGATTTTGATCAATTAATTATTTCTGGTGCGCGATTTAAGATATTATTATTAAGATTCCGAAATTCAACCTATAAATTTGGAATTGTAATAATTTTCATCGTAGTCGTCCGGCTCCCGTCACAATGAAAAATCTCAATGTTGAGTTTAAATTACCCTGGGAGACTCAGTATCCTCGATCAACTTTCGCAAATTCCAAGAATTAACTACACACATTTTCAACACCTTCAAATAGAAAAATCTGACATGAAACACTATCTGGGTTGCACTTTGGATTCGAATAAACACACAATTAATTGATTGACAATGACAAAAATTTATTCCGAAACACATATATAACAAACACTCTGAAAGAAAGAACAGCTTGCAGAGCTGGTTCGGACACATTACCTGTTTCTGAACTTTGCTTTATAGTAGATTTGGATGGCAAACAACACTAGTTTGGTGAGTAAAATGAACAAATTTTCGGTAGCTGTTCGAAATTTAAAAAAGCTTCGCTGCGCTATACTGCTTCGGACAACACGCGTTAAACTTCTCACACGACTTTGGTTAATTCGCTTCTGCACACATTTATTATAAAAGAAGACGAACTGCGTCTTTAATAAAACAAATAGGGCTGACTGCCCGTAAGTTAGTGTAAAACAGATGTACTCATTTTTTAACCGTCGCGAAAACTAGTGGAGGTTCAGTCGTCTCCAGTATTTAAGGAAGTATCACTTCCACCATAAAATAACCTTCCTTAAGGATTTTCAAATAAATCGCCAATCAACGACGGAATGCGCCAAACGTCCCCACTTCTTCAAATGAAACGCGCAATTCTTCGAAACACCATACCTCTTAACAGTTGGAACAGTCATTGCAAAGGACCAGATGTATCTTACTTCTCACATCTTATCTAAATTGAATAAAATTAAAACAAGAATTACGCATTTCCAACATTTCTAAAAGGAAAAACAACACGGAGATACAAATTCAAATGAAACGAACCAACTATGTGCTTATTTCATAATGATCCCGTCATTATTTTTGGTATTTAGACCGCAGTAACGTCTGCATTACATTATTTGACCGATAAAAAAATTGATTGAAATGTTTCTGTCTCTTAATTAAAATTTTGAGGATAAAGAAGATATTTGAAATACGTTCATGAACTTTTCGAGTTTATATTAAGTCGATAAAAGAGAGTTAAAATCAGTCTGTCTCTTAAATTTGGGAAGATATTAAAAATACGTTTCAGAATTTTGACGTAAAATTTTCGAAAAAAATTCGAAAAACATTTGTAGAAAAAAGAGAAACATTTTGATAAATTTATTTAAGAAACGTTTTTATTAAATTTTCAAGAGAAAGATTTTAATTAATCTTTTTTTATCGATCTATAAAATTAAACTAAACAATTCTGAAACGTGTAAGTACAGAACCTTTTTGGTTTTGCTTGAATTCATAATTAGTCACTGTTTAAAATAGCTTAGATTTACAATACAGCATCTCTCTTTTTTCCTCTATCGTTTCCTTTTAGCTCAGATTATTTAACTTATAATACCATATGAAATTAGAGGTTTTAATTATTCAATACTTACACTAATTTTTATTTGCATTAATAATAATAATAATTTTATTTAGTTATTGCGTTCGTTAAATTTACAGAATGCGGTTCTGCTAAGTCTACGACTTAAGAGCAGGCTCCGATCATAGATTTATATCGCTAATGTGCATCTTGCTCTGGTTGACGCTGTTAGATAAGTATGTTGCATACTAATCACAAATTGACATGATTCCCAGTTTTGCGAATTCAACTTCGATTTTTTGTGTATTTTTAAGAACGCCCATGAATGAATGACTCTAAGAAATTCATTTGTACTATGCGTTAAAATTAAACGCGAAAATTTTTACAAGTTCTGATAATGTGGATATTCTAAAATTAAAAAGCTTCGCCTTTGATTTTGTTTGAACGCATTACATTTTCTTTTTTGTAAAATTTGAAATGCATGTCATTTTTTAATGAGCTGAGGTTCCCGTTTTCTCTATCCTCTTCATCGCTGGCACGACCTTGAACCACAAACAAGAAATAATTAGTCATTTTTTAAGAGTAGCTCCCCCCTCTCATCTCATAGATTGCAATAATAGTACTTGACGTCGATCCGAGAATTTTTATTGCTAATGGTAATTAGTGCTATTGTTCGTACCCATTTTATATGTGCATTACGCCCCCCCCCTCCCCCACTCCCGGATGGACGAGCATGTTTTTGAAGAATCAAAGGTAGCTATATGTCAATTTCTTCCCATTTCTCCTAGCCCTTAAAACATCCTCTGCGTTATTGCAGCATTTACAAAATAGGTACATGCGGCGACGTGACAATTAAACACCGTATCATAAGTACATACCTACCTGATTAAACAATTACCTCTTTAATTTTTTTGTGATAATGGTTTTGAATGTCATTTATAAGCGTCATGCCTTCCTGATAATCAACACGTGGGAAGATAAAAAGATAATCTGACTCATTACGGTATAATTTCGCAAACGTGCCGCAAAATTTTCAAGCGGACAAAACTGAAAATTTTCCAAAAAAAATGCGGGAGTTATTTTTAGATTGTGTTACGCCACTGTAAGGTCAACATATCACCTTGCCGCCCGTTTTCAGACACGAGACCGGGCACGTTTGTGCTACATTCGTATATTACAAACAAAACCAATGCCGACAATCGAGCGATTTACGCTACGTGTTAAAAATAACGTAGAAAATGCAAATTGCGACGTACACTTTTTTTAACGAAAAAAGTTCGCTTCTGAAGGTACCGACTGGTAAACAATATTTATAAAAATAATCTCGTGATATGACGTGCACGTGACGCACGAACAATTGAAAATTTCCACCATATCTTCGGTTCGCGAAAAAAAAACTTGCCGATTCCAACAAATAGACTTACCCCTCGTATTTTACGTGAGCGCTTTCTTCCCAAAATGTATGCGGTTGCGACAAATCCATCATCATTTCGAAAGGACCGAAGCGAAAATACAACGACGCACTTTCTTAAATTTTGAAAAATCACAACCGGTCTCTTTATTTGTCTTGTGTAATTGATCACTCGACGATTATAAAAGTAGAAAAAAAATCGGTATATTGCAATTTAGCGCAGAGATGCGGCTGCAAGAACGCTCGAAGTAAATATGCTTTTTACCCGCGAGTTGTGTGTCGGTAGAAAACTGATTATTGCCGCTGCCACACGCTGGAGGACACGTGAGGTGCCCCTAATCGATTCATTCAATGTTTTCCTACCGTCTTTCTCTTTCCTGCCTTTTTTTATTTGCGGATTAACGGAAGGCAATTCGCGACATTCGCTCGTTTTCTCCTTCCGCTTTTCGGCGCGCAGTTTAGGCAAGCTGTGGCGATTGGGAAAAGTGCGGGTCCGAGCAGGTGGAGTAAAAGAAAATAAGGGCGCGATTAATCGTCGCGTACGTCGGATACATTTCAGCGAATAACACGTGATTGCAAAGTGGGCGATCACGTTTGGAGCAACGTGTGAATACCATGTGACTAATTCAATTCGCATTTGAGTGCACAAACCTGTAGCTGAGACAAAACCTCGCGTGTCTTGCCATTTGTCGGCATTTTTTCAAAGTGAACTCGTTTAACTGGATGTGTATTTTTAGAATTAGCAAAAGTTAAACATAGAACGCATTTAACAGCAATCGCGGATACTTTTTAATTGCAGCGGCGTAGATTTTTATTCATCTTTGATTATTATCGGCACAGGATTGGACCTCCGAGAACGGGACAACTCGCAAAAAAGTCGACTCTGATATCTAGTGACCAGAAGTTCAGAAATTTACATTCAGTTTTAAAAAGACAATCTCTGCCGTGCCTTTCTTCCACGTTTTAGCAACGGGAACGGGAATCCCTTTAATGCGTAAACGCTATTTTGAATTAAAATTAAGATCCTGCTCAATCCTATTATCCTACATTTAAAACACAATGCAATTATTATTAGGAAAAGCCCTAAAAAAATACGTATTAAGAAAAATGCTTTGTAATCATCTAAAATACCTCGTACTGTTTATAGGCAAATACAGATCCCTTCAATGGAGCACAGCCCCAGACATCAGAAGAAATAGAGAAGCCACTCCAAAGATAAATCGTAACAGCCATAACCAAAAGCTCTTATACAGGTAGGCACTAAGTCATTAAAATGTAATCAATGCCAATTGCAGAAACTTCACTGGATGGAAAAGAAATACAACTGCGCGCAATACTAAATTAAAGAAGAATGGATAGAACTAGAAGTACCATGAAAAACCTGCACGACCTTCGTCGGCGAAACAAAGAACTATGGTAATAAAACATCTATAACATTTGGAACAAATTTACTACTGGAACTAAACTTACATCTAAAATAGTGGATTACGAAGAAAATACCTAGAAGGCTTAAAAATTTTAAATACCTAAACATTTGAGTAAGAATTTAAATATGAGCACAAATCAAGAAGTTACATAAGTGAAATTTCAATCGGTCAAAGAATAACGTTACAGCTTTCTAAAAAACGTATCATTGTATTACGTCAATGGACGAAAGTGTCGGCGGAACGGACGGATTTGATTCGACCTTGGCCCTGGTGAAGGTCGGCGTAGTAGCGGTTTCCGAAACGGTCCTCGGAAGTCGCGAGTAAACGCATTCAGACTAAACGGCAGCTCCGGGAATCTGACGAGGTCGGCAAATGGCGGGTGTTACTTCCGAAGCACTTAAACAAAATTACAGCGCACGGCTCATACGGCAAGTTCCCTGGCGGGAATAAAAGAAACAAACCACAAGTTAATTAGCGGTGTCTACGGGAAAGCAAATGCAGAAAAGCGAAACAATATCCCGCTTATACCTAATGGAACAGAAAGTAGCAAAAAGTCTACCTTGCAATCAAACGGCGGTAGAAACTACTTATAAGAAAAAGCAAAAACTGCGACTTAATGTAGCAGCAAAAATCAAATGTTATGAGTGCCAAAGTTAATATACGGAAAAGCTCAAAATTACGGTACTTACGAACGTAACTTGCCAAAAAACACTAAAGGGAAAAGATCTCATCTAAACTTTAGCTTTTATAAATTTCGGCCATGCCATGGAGGGAACGCCGGTTTTCGCAACCAGTCCAGTGTATTCGGATACTAACAATTAATTGGGCGGCCCGCTGACGCCTTAAAAATCTTAATTAAGAGCGCTTCTTTAGAGACCACTCACGACTTAATCGGTTGCTGTTTACTGCGACTCTGAACTAGCTACAGTTAATTTAGGGCCAGTTTCATAATCACGCAAAAATCTCCTTTAACTAATGACAAAAATTAAGACGGCTGTTGTGGACGAACCCCTCCATTTCGAGTGGAAAATAATATTGAGTTAAAAATTATAAACATTAATGATACTAATACAACATTAATTAATCATTAGTCAACTTTAGTTAAAGGAGACTTTTGCGTGATTTTGAAACTAGTCCTAACTCTATTAAAGGCGCGAGATGAAATTTCTACATTCATACTAAAGCTTCATTGTCTCTTGAATTTCTCAGGTCGGCAAAAGGTCTCTTATTAAACTGATACTGGCGTAAACCTGCAGCTTTAATGCTCGTTTTAAATTAACATAGGAAACTGAAACCTACTAATAATGATTTAACGGAGCTGAAATTTTAAAATATCAATTCGCCATCGACTTCTAAGAGCAACAAGGATAATTGAAATATCTTAAACGGGGACGCTTGCAAACGGCGAATGAATTACAGTTTTTGTTTACAGTAACAGCGGCTGTATCACAAACTCTAGAAATTAAATCAATTTTACATTCTATCTTCAACCCCTAGAACCAAGATAAATATGTTCTGCACGACACTTGTTACAAAGCTCATCCAGATACCGGGCGGTCATGAAAGTATGTAAAATTCAAGGTGGAAAATAGATGCTTCCTTACAGGTGATCGCACGATATGAAATTTATTCTTTTACCCAAAATCATCAATAAACTTTCATTTTTATGCCTACTTTATATCAGGAAATGACACCTGTCATCACTGACAGATTGATATCAATCAAAGGTTCTATATAAAACCTGAAATTTTATATTAAAATACGATTTCGGGTAAAATTTAATACAAAAATCGTCAATAAAATGACATTACTTGAGTAATGTGTGTTATTTTCGTAACTTTTACATAAATAAATGATGTTGTGTCACAATAACAATGATCCAAGCTAAAAATTAAGTACGCTTACATTGAAAATTGGTACAAATGCGTACACTAATGCAGAAATTAAGCTCTGCGCAATTATGGTTCTGTTCTCAGGTGTATAAATCCCATAGTGGCGGGAGGGGAAGGGTTCATAATTTAGGGGGCCATTGTTACTTTTGTGTATCAAAGTTCAACGTAAACAAACGCATCGTGCTCCGCGGAGTGAACACCAAAAATATTGAAAAACTCCCCTCTTTCAGTTTTCGTAAGTGCGGAATTGGAGAAAATACAGAGTGTTTAATGACCTGTTTCCGACGGTTGTGCGAACATTTCCGGCGCAGGTGCTTTAGCCACTACTTTATTTCAAGAAAAGATAAGTTTTGTCGGTTTATGGTTGGTAGTACTGGTAGGTAAAAGGTTATTTTGAAATGTAGGTTAAATATGAACGCGTTTTAAGTTTGTTTATTTGCGAATTGTGTTTTACTTTTAAAAAGGTATTATAAAACGCTGCGTTCTAACATTATTTATACATTTCGTATTTATTTTAGTAAAAAATGTCGAGTTCCAGTGACTTCGAGGATGTCCCGCCAATTTCAAAATCATCTGACACATCTTTACCTAAGAAAGAGGCTTCGAGTCAATATTTGACGATGTTAAATTCAAACACCAAATTTAACGAGATGCTTAAAAATAAAATAAAACAAACGGGCGTCTCGCCTCTTTTGAACACGCACGATTTTAACCCAGTGGCATCGTCAACCCAAATTGGCACTCCAGACGAATTAAAGAGAAAGAGCATTAAGAAACAGTCGGATGTCAAAACGAGTCCAAAAAAGAAAGGTCTAAGTTCAAGTGTTGTTGTGAAAAGGGAGCCGGTCAGTTTCGAGAGTGGTGATGAGAACATCACAAAGCAGCCCAAGCTGAAAAAAAAGAAAGCGGATCTGCAAATGGAGTCCAAACGTAGAAAAGAGGAAGCACAAACAGTGTCACGTCTTACTTCGACTACTCAAAGTAAAAAGTCAGGGGCAGCGAATGAATCTGAATCGAGTGTTGACAGTGAAAGCGATAGCCACAGCAGTGTACCACCTTCACCTCGAACTAAGCACAGTAAAGAATCTACTGGGTCATTAAATCGATCAAGGAAACAGAGCTCTTCTGAATCAAGCGAAGATGAAGGTAGACCGACGATAATGTCAAAAGAACCTGTTTACGGGCAGTCTAATTCGAAAATAAACTTTTCTAAATTCAACAATAAAACAAAGAGCACGATATCCAATTCAGACAGTGAGCCCGAGAGTTTGCGCCCATCTTTACCGGTTAAGAGAGAATTGCATTCTGATGTAGAGCACGTTTCGAAAAAGAAAAAACATAAAGTGACACCAAAACCTAGCTCCTCAGGTTCAAGTGAAGATCAAGATCATGTATCTGCTAGGCAGAAAAACCAGAAAAATAAACAAAAAGTACCACCAAAGACTAGTTCCTCCAGTTCAAGCGAAGGCGAAGATGATGTACCTGTTAGGGCAAGCAGTAGTGGTACGAGAAGGGAAAGTATGACTCGCTCGAGTTCGGATTCTCCATCACAAAAGAATGTGTCCAAGGCTAGTAACAGGAAAAAAACCAAACACGGGAAGCGTGCTGTGGTCGAGGAGAATGGAGACAAATCTTCTAGTTCCAGCTCGGAAAGTGAAGCCGAATTGAGGATTCAGAAAGGTATGTTAAGGTGGCTTCATAGCAATCCGTCCACATCGTATGTTTGCAAGGAATAATCTTAAGAACACTGCTATCTGATTATCACCTGAACAGAGATCTATGAACCCACCTTAGGGCTATGTGTGATTTTGGATACTTGCATGAAGTTAGAAATAGCATTTCAAATTTTTGTGCAGTGTTGCCACTTATCTCAGTTACCCTTATAAAAATTAACATGATTCTTTTTAGTACATTTATTTAAGCACTTTAAAAATGAACGGTAAAGTATGCCTCTACGAAAAAGATAGTAATAAGAAATAGCAATGAACAAAAGGTTAGATTAGGTAGGCTTACATATTTACACAACTCGAATCATTACGAAATTCCAGGTCCAGGGTGCTGTGGTGTAACTTGACCTCGTTTGTTGGTCGCTCGCCTCTTTTTATAAAAAAATAAAATTCAGACTCCATCTCGCGTTAATGCTATGTATCACAGTTTTTGACATCTCATCTTTACTTAACGTGGTGAAAGACAGAGGGTGCTGTGGTGAAACTCGACCCCATTTGTTTCTCACTCACTTCGCCATATTTATTTAGAAAAACTAGACTACAGCTCTTATTGTTTATGGGATGTATCAGATACGGATGAGATAATATACAGGGTGTTCTTTTTAAAAAAATCATTTATTTACACCATTAACATTTGCACATAAGATTTTTTTACACCATAGTGTATTTGTAATCTAGTGAATCACAATATAATACAATTTTCGACATTTAGGGATAGACGATTCACTGTACACCACTCCAACACGCCCTTGATTTCATTTTTGTAAACATTCAGTCAGTAGATGATTTGGGATTTTACCTTGTTACTGACATGTCCACGGGAAATAAAGATTATTATTACTATGTTATCCTACAGAATATCTTCAGGTTGTCAGCAAACAACAATTTTTCACGCAACTCGCGGGTAAGGTCGTTGATATATAATATAAATAAAAGAGGTTCTAATTTGGAACCCTGCGTCCATTTTTTTTACTTATAAGGTTTCTAAATTGTGTGGCTCACTATTTTGTGGAAATTCTATTGCTAACTACTTGCCAGTTTGTGACTGAATATATCTGTTTGATTTCTTCAAGACGCCTTTCCCTCCATTAACGCCCTAACTTTTAATAATACGATTTAAATTGTTCCCTCGGCAGGTAAAATTCGTAAACGTCAAGCGGAACGTCTCAGCGAGGACGACGGTGAGAGCATGCATCAAACAAAGAAAACTGCGACGTCCCGCTTACGCAAGTTCGAAAAAGAAGACTCACTGGAAACTGTTGCGACATCTTTCGACGTTCTCAACGACATTTCATCAAAAGAAGACGTGTACATCATTCAGATACCGGTTAAGCTGGATCCTAGGCGATTAATCGGCTCGAGTATCTCCCTAAACGGTTCGGTGCGCTTCAATAAAAAATACGACAGCATCATCTCGGTCGAATCGCAAGATCCGATTGTCGTTGCTACCAATAACAACAGCAAAAGCTTGAAAGTTATCGGACCTGTCGGAACGATAAAGTTACAACGTCGGCTACGTTACGAAAAGGTCTGTGAGATACCCGAACTGATAAACAAGACTGTGGCGTTTCCGAGCAACTTAAAAAGTCGCCATCCACTTTTCGGATCGAATTTTGATAAGAAAATTGATTTAGATGAACACGTCCAGATGAAACTGGACTCTCTTTGCGAGCCAAATGTTAAAAAGAAGAAGAAAAAGAAGAAATTAGAAAAGGAGCAACAAGAGGAGGAGATATTTAAATTTTTGACTGTGGGAAATGAAGAGAGCGCGCCCGTTGAAAAGAAAAAGAAGAAAAAGTCAGGTCACGACCTCGAGGATCAAGATGAGAGTATGAGCAAAAAGAGGAAGCACTCAGAGTCGGAAGATCTTCACAAGAAAAAAAAGAAGAAGAAACACAAAGAGGACAGTAATGATACTTTAATTCAAGAAATGTTGTCTTCAAAAATTGCCACATTAGATGTGACCAAAAAGAAGAAGAAGAAAAAGAAGGAAGAATGTTGAGTTTTTTTTGTTGTTATGTAGCCGATTTTTGTGCTCAAAGAGATAATTATGTCTTTTTTAATTACATTTTAATAAATTTTAAAATATAATTTTTATACACCTAATTATTGTGTTTAATTGGTTGCAGATACACCTTAGATCTTTTGATTCCTCCTCCGAGTATTCAGTTTAGTCTTTCCAATTTTACTGATTCTCCAAATAATTCCTTCCAATTCTTCTGATTCTAAAAATTATCAAGTCAACCTAGGAATATGGATGAGCAAAAACTGAGGCACCCCACCCTTCAACTTTTAGGTGTGTGTGAATTCCAGGGTCGACTTGTCAGTTATCCAGAGTATGATTGGTCCATTCTTGGAACATTTTTAACCAACTGAGATGGTCGGTAGATCTGTAGGTGTGGATTAAGAGGTGTTGTGACAGGTCACCTGTGGCTGGTAGAATTGGCAGATGCGCCATTAGGTCATAGGTGTGTACTTACCTTTATGATCTCATTCTAAAAAATTTGCTGTGGAGAGCACAGAGACCACCTGCGCATCGATTCTGCCCTTTTATGTCTTAAGAATATCTACCAAATTTGGTTCCAATCCGTTTAGTCGGAAATGAGAGTAGGTATAGACTGATGGACATCGTCCGAGTTTTTTTTTTTATTCGGATTTCTTGTGCTTCAAAATGTGTATTTCCGTCAAAAAAGTGGGGGGGTTATTTTTACCCCAATGCAATATCTCCCTTACTGACGTATAGGTGGTAAAAATTTAGTATAAATAGTGCACATTACGTCAAAGTATACACTGGGCGGTCAATGTGAATAATAGAGAGAAGGGAAATTTTTTATACCGTCCCCCTGGTGACAGAAGTAGGTTTCCTTCCCCTAAGTTTTAAAAGAAAATACACCCCAAATGATTTATCACAATAATCGATCATTATGAAACATGTCTGCATTAATTTTACCGTAACATAACGTGGACATTTACTAAATGTGTACTTTAACCGTAACAAAAATATATGTATTATCGATTGCTAAACATAAATGCAATGGGCACACCTTTATTAAATTCATCGAACAACTTTAACACTTCTTTCGCATGCGCACTGTATGAAATGTTCTGGACAATTTTGACAAAAACTCTTGTTAGAAGAGAAAGCTGTCTGCGCCATCTCAGGAGCCCCAACACTTTGCAACTCTGAACATAATTCACAAAACTGGACATTCTTGGCCATCAAGTCGACAAAGGAATTAGTCACAGGTGATCAAGTTCGGAAGCGGATATGACATGTACTGTCCACGAGTATGATATCATGACTAAAACTCTCTCTTGTGTTTAATAGTAGTTCCCATATCGACGCCGAAGTGATAAATAGTGAAATTCGCGCACGTGTTACAGATTTATATCAAATACTATAATAAAAATAAATTATAAATAATAACCGTTATAAATCAATCTATTTAATGGCAAAGTTTACACACCGACTTTTTGGCCATACGGAAAATGGTTATTTTATCGTTAATACAACTGCGGTGGTACTTTATTAGAAATAGAAGAAACAAGACAATACACCATTTGAATAAAAAGATAATCTGCCGTTTTTTGGGACATGTGGATGACCATTGAAACATTTGACTATATTTTTAGCAAAATTGGCTGTAAATTAATAATCTCTTGGAAGAACTACCATGTATAGTCCATAAAAATTTTGTAGAAATACTGTAACTTTCAGGTAAGCACCAATGTCAATGCGTAGAATAAATGGCTGTAGAAGGACACCTCCACTTCACGCGATAAACGAGTTTTTACAGTTCTCAAACTGTTACTTTTTCGTCTTTGTATGTGCATCTTTGTATTAAGAAAATCACATTTTGATGATAATGAAAGAAATAAAGACTAATGGGCAACACTAATTTGACTTACATTTCATAGCAGGCGCAGATTATATTTTAAACAAATTCGTGTAGAGTTGGTTGCCTATCTATTCTATGTATTGACTTAAGTATACATTAGCCATGATATGGATACATTTAAGAAATTTAAGAAACCTCTAGCTGCCATATGAAATCTGTTGCAATTTCTCTACACAAAGTGGCGTTCTTTTTTTTTTATTTGGTTAGGCCCTCGAAATAATTGATTTCCTTGCGTACCGAACTCTTTCGACTCGTGGTATCGTCGATCGAAAAGCAGGGCTGCCACAACACTAGCAACGAATCGAGAGACGATTCTGTTTTACGTTAATTTTTTGATTAACAAATAATTTGTTATTATTTAATAAATAATACAAAATACTTGATGTAGTTTCGCTAATTAGAATTGGAAAACATAATGGATATACCACAGCCTCCACAAGGTAAATAGTTTAAGTATTTGTTATGATAACGTGGGCGCTTTAAATTGGAAAATGAAAATTCGCATTTATTCTCGTTTTTCACATGTATTGCTTTAATATAGATACCGAATTGCGGAATATAATAGACAAATTAGCTCAGTTTGTTGCCAGAAATGGGCCAGATTTTGAACAGATGACAAAAAACAAACAGAAAGGAAACACAAAGTTCCAGTTCCTTTTCGGAGGGGAATTCTACAATTACTATCAATACAAAGTGCAAACGGAACAGGCTAGTAAGTACTGTGATACGGTTTCAGCTTACTTACTCTCGTTTTAACCGTTCCAACTTGTAGGTATGAATGGCTCCTCGCAAAATGGCAATTGGAATCAGTGTATGCAAAGCATGGACGAAACAGAGATCGAACAGTTGACACAGCAACAGGAGGTGTTGCGTGAGCAAATTAAGCAAAGCGAACAAAACCTAAATGCTCAGCACACTGTAAGTATCACGCCAATTGCTCTCCAGCTTAGTTCACTTTTTGCGATAGGTGCTGCTCCAACAACAGCAAGCACAAGTCGAAAATCTGGTGACGAAATGCGAAATGGCCGAATTACAAAGGGAGGCGGAGGCTTCCGAATTGCCCTTAGACGAATTGTACGCGATACTACAGCCGATAATCGATAGCTGCACCAAAGATAGCATAAGTAATGGAAAATCGTGGATCTTACAGCATTCGTCAACGAAGCTTCAAACCTTATGCATCGCCCACTGTTTGCTGTACAAAGTTATGCATAATAGCTCCACCTTTCCCCAGAAACTGCACGTCATTTACTTGGTTAACGATGTGCTTCATCACTGGTAAGACAATTGTGCGTGTATGTTGAATTAAACAAGGGGGAAATCGCAATGCGGAATATCGAAAAACCATTTCCGGAATGAATCTCAGATCTCACAGTGGTAGAAATAACTAAATTCATGTGTACAGGGTGTTTCAATTTTGGGGTCCCCATAGAGAACGTTTTTGTAGAAACGATTTTGACCTAACTAATTGGGCAACATTGCAATTTTGAAAAAATTATCAAAGTCCTCGTTTGAGATCGAAGGGACTTCAGCGCATTTTTGTGTGGCAGATCAGTATTCTATTAGCCACTTTCGATTCAACCATCAATAACAGATCTTGTCGAAGGCTACTACATTCACTAACCGCTTCCCACTTTCCTCGTGCACCCGCAATTCGCTTTTAAAGATTTGACTCCACCATCAGGAAGATCGTGTCGGGGGCTACCACATTCCCTTTGACGGTACCCACTTCCGACGTTCGGTTCACCCGCAATTCGCGTTTGAAGATTTGACTCCACCATCAGGAAGATCGTGTCGGGGGCTACCACATTCCCTTTGACGGTACCTCCTTCCGACGTCCCGTTCACCAGCAATTCGCGTTTGAAGATTTGACTCCACCATCAGTGAGATCGTGTCGCGGGCTACCACATTCCCTTTTACGGTACCCACTTCCGACGTCCCGTTCACCCGCCAATTCGCGTTTGAAGATTTGATCCACCATCAGGAAGATCGTGTCGGGGGCTACCACATTCCCTTTGACGGTACCCCTTCCGACGTCCCGTTCACCCGCAATTCGCGTTTGAAGATTTGACTCCACCATCAGGAAGATCGTGTCGGGGGCTACCACATTTCCTTTGACGGTACCCCCTTCCGACGTCCCGTTCACCCGCAATTCGCGTTTGAAGATTTGACTCCACCATCAGGAAGATCGTGTCGGGGGCTACCACATTCCCTTTGACGGTACCTCCTTCCGACGTCCCGTTCACCAGCAATTCGCGTTTGAAGATTTGACTCCACCATCAGTGAGATCGTGTCGCGGGCTACCACATTCTCTTTTACGGTACCCACTTCCGACGTCCCGTTACGTCGCCAATTACTTTCTATTGGCGACACGAGAAAGAGAGGACAGCGATTCGAGATTCACGAAAACTTTAAAACGCGGCAGTGAGTTCGCAACGGAGGTAAAGACGCCCTGACTACTTCCTCGAAGACGCGCGCGCGCTCGCAAAAGGTCGTTAATTTCGCACCCTGAAATGACAAAAAACAAATTCCGCCACGCAGGAGTTGTGCGCGTTTACAACATCTTCCGACGACACCAATTTGAAAAGAATCGGACCAAAACTGTAGTAGAAGATAGGAAAAAACTGAAAAACCTTCACGTTAGTACACTACGCTCGAGGATGACGCCCAGATGTCGCCAACCCCACATCATGTAGCCATGTCCCTAAGGTTGACAAATTTCACGGCCCTGTAGATACACGTACAACCCGTTGCCTTTCTACAAGAGTTCTTCTACGCGCCCACATTTGCTGCCAACCAGCCAGCCAGCCAGCCAAAGTGAGATTAAAAGCTACTTTTTACAAATAAATTTGCAAAAATTTTAATAAACAAAAATAAAAAAATACTATTCCTATAGCAAAAATTCGAGAAAATCCCCAAAAACCGGAAATACAGTTTTAAGATATATACGGTTTTTGACATGATAAATCAACATGTTGGATGTTAATAAAGATTTTTTCGAAATCTGTCTTCTTCCTTCTCTTTAATGTTTGCCTAATATTCTCTTTTGATAGCTTATGGTCAACTGTTTTAGTTAAAACATCTTTATTATTTCTTTTTTCTGCATTTTTACCGCAATAAAGGCAATTCGAAATAAAATCGAATTATGTATCTTGCTTCCTGATTCTTGAACAATTTATTTTTGTTCACCGACTCTTCTTCCTGCTTGTTTTATAACTGATGAAATTGCGTTGGGCCGGTTGATAAACTTGCAAAATCTGCAATAAGAACGTTGGTTTTACCGGCCAAAAGCAAATGATTTGAGATGTCAAACCTGCAGGAATAAACTTTATGAGGATTCATAATTACTGTAAATTAACGATCAACAGGCCCAGCTTAATCCCATCAGCTGTAAAACAGGCAGGAAGAAGAGTTAGTGAACAAAAACATATTGTTCAGGAAGCAAAAGAATTCGATTTTACTTCAAATTACTTTTATTGCGGTAAAAATGCAGAAAAAAGAAACAATAAAGATGTTTTAATTAAGGCAGTTGGGCACTGGGAAACAAAAGAAAATATTTTAGCAACATTAAAGAGGAGAGAGAAGACAGATTTCCAAAACTTTTTATTAGCGCGGATCCAACACGTTAATTTATTTGCAAAAAAGCCTATTTACCTACTGTCAAAAACGGTGTACCTTAAAACTGTTCCCCCCGTTTTTGCCGCTTTTCTTGAAATTTTTCTATTGGAATAATATTTTTTATTTTTGATTATTAAAATGTAAGTCGTTACGAAAATTTTGCTACCCCGCGCACCTCTGTACGATGAAAAAAAATAGATTTTTCATCCCCTTGAAGAAGAGGTGATTTTTGACAGAAATCGTGAGATCTTGGAAACGGTTCAACTTTATAGGCCCAAACAATTATCTTCCGTTTTATCATAAAACAGGTTATGTTACGTCCAAATTTCAAACCCCTACGATATTTTTTCGCAAAAATAAGAATAAAAAACGAAAAAAAACAGTTATTCCGGTTTTTCTAGGAAAATTTGAGGGTATGTGAAAATAGTGTAGATACAAAAGTTGCTCATTTTTTAATCTCTATAACTTTTACATTTAACATTTTCGTCTAAAATCAATAGTTTTGCCACAATTTGCAAAATACCACTTTCCACCCCTTTCAACCCCCGTGATTTCACCCGCGGAAAAATTTTTAATTATTTTTTCCCAATTTCTATTCATTTCACCTGCCTGAAAAACCCGGCTTCGCCCGGTAACTAATTTTTTTGAAAATAAATCATTTTAGAGCTATTTAGCCTGGACTATATACAATATTCCTAGGCAATATGTATGTGTAGGTAATTAAGGGAAGGAAAACTTTTTATACAGCCCGTTCCGATGCCATTTGTCACAATTACGAGCCATTATGAATGTTTCCTAGCTGGGAATTGCATACATTCCCTAGGTATTGTATAGAATACCTGAATTATAGGTACAGATTGCCGGTAACATATACAGAGTCCCCATTACGAGGCCCATTATGTATGGAATAATTGCAAATATCGAATGTACACAAAATGTTTCTATATGAAAGTTGTTTTAACATTTTATTTCCAATAATACGGCACCATTCAGTTGCTGTTATTTCAGAAACCTGTCCATCTTTAGTCATGGGATTTTGTTATCATTATTCAATTCAAGGATATTGGCGCCGGTGGCTGGTCGGTAATTTTTACGCGCGCAAAAAGGACCGAAACGCCGTGTTTAAAGTTTAGAAACCTTTTCGGAAATATATGTCAATGGAAAGTACGCCGTTTTCCAAGGAATTTAGTTTAAGGAGTCCTGTTAGAGAAAAAATTCTTGAAACACTCTTATGGGGAATTCTTTCTGAAATCCTTGAGATTCCCTTGGGAATCTTTGTAAAAACCTTCCTAAGAATCTTGAGAACTTTCCTTGTCATAGGAAGTCGTCAGAAATATTTTGTTGGGTCTTAGAAACCGTATATCTTAGGGAATTTTTTTAAAGAGCAATATTCCTAGGTACCTTTTTGCATGGAGTGTTCTTGGAAACTTTTTACCATGACGATTTAGTGCTTTTGGAGAATTTAAATTGTATTTAACATTTAGGACATAACCTCCTCTTCTGCAAAAAGAACAACACTAAATCAATGGCCATATAAAGGTATATTATCCTTTATTACAATGAATTTTGACAATACCTATATAGATTTTGTAGAACCTTTTAAGGTAATCGCAAATGAAATGACCACTTTTAATGAGAAATAACCTAAATCCTCGAATATGGTACAATACATGTTTATAGGTAGATATACTCTAAACCACTTTTTTATTCACATTTTGTATGACAAACTCGGCAATAAATGGACCTTTTAGTGTGACTGACTGAAATAATGAAATTACGCCAAAGAAATTACATTCTTCAATGAAAACTTGAATCTACACCAAATTCAATGGGTTCTTCAATTTACACATTATCATTTTTTCAGCCATTGCAACTTGGGGGTACCAATTTTCCTTTTTACCATACATTAGGATGTAAAAAAACCACGATTGCCATCTCAAAGTGGTAGCTATTAGAAATGGCGGCCAATCCAAGATGGGGGATGTTGAGTTTGATAAAATTCGGGGTTTTCTTTGAATGCTTCAAGAAAAATGAATGACACTAACCTTGGACTAAAGGTCTTCTTGTTTATGGAAAGGATTGATTTTCTTACCTAGAAATCGCTTGGTGGTTATGGTACAGAAATATGTAACCGACGTTACAAATGTTACAGTTGTTACAGATGTTACAGATATTGCAGATGTTACAGATGTTGCAGATGTTACAGATGTTACTGGTGTTGCAGATGATAAAGATGTTACAGATGTTACAGATGTTACAGATGTTACAGATGTTACAGATGTTACAGATGTTACAGATGTTACAGATGTTACAGATGTTACAGATGTTACGATGTTACAGATGTTACAGATGTTACAGATGTTACAGATGTTACAGATGTTACAGATGTTACAGATGTTACAGATGTTACAGATGTTACAGATGTTACAGGTGTTACAGATGTTACAAATATTACAGAAATATTCCGCGGCAAATTTCGCTTTTCCTGAACCGCTCTTATAATTCGAAACGATTGTTTGAGAAACACAACTAATTACAATTTCCTTTTTTACTAAAATCTTTCCCCTATGACTGAGAGACTTTATCTATATCATGTACTTGGCATATTTTGGAAACCAATTGATGATACTTTCGAGTTCAAAACCAAATTCCACAAAGAAAATATAAGAAGACTGACGAAAAGGGTGATTTTGAAAATTGTAATGTCAGTTTTTGATCCACTGAGATTTATTACAAACATATTGATTCAAGATGCTGATACAGGATGTTTGGAGGAGCCAATTAGGTTGGGACGACGAAATTACAGCTAAGTTGGCGAATAAATGGAACATATGGATTGAGGAATTGAAGAAAATGTATAATTTCAAGATACCACGACAATATTTCACATTAGATAGGAGTCATTTGCAGTTGCACGTATTC